AAATGTTAAGTGAAAATAACAATGAAAATGTAAAAAGCAATTTAGAGGGAAAATATTAGGTATATTACACTACAAATGTATAAAGAGAAGGCAAACATGAGGGTGTGGACTTTGACAGGCAATGGTCTAGCCACACCAGGAGTGAAGAGACTAGCATGAGAGCAAGCGGTGGGAAGGTGGCAGGATCTCCAGTCCCACCAGGATGCCACAGGGGCCACTTCACCTGACCATCAGCGGCCTCAGCTGTACAGGAGATGAAGTCTGTGCATTCTCAATGTTCCTATTATGAGACTCCTTAAAATGGTGAAAACAATTCTATGCATACACACACATATACAGATACAGACATGCACCTATAAACATATACATACACATAGACACACGTTTTACATATATGTATGTAAAACAATCAGACCCTACCCAAGGGGATCAGAAAGTAGGTAATGAGCAAAAGGATTATGAATAAAGTTGTTTTCCTGTCTGACCCTAAGCATCTGAGTTTCTTTCCTTTTCTCTCTTCCTTCCTTCTTTCCCTCCCTGCCTCCCTCACTTTGGTCTTTCTTTTCTTTTCTTTTTTTTGGACAGGGTCTCATTGTGTCAGCCAGGCTGCAATGCAATGATGCAATCAGGACTCACTGTAGCCTTGGCCTCCTGGGCTCAAGCAATTCTCTCACCTAAGCCCTCTGAGTAGCTAGGACTACATGTCCATGCCACCATGCCCAGCTAATTTTCAGTAGAGACAGGGTCTTGCCAAGCTGCCCAAGCTACCATGTGAGTTCTACCTCCTGTCTTAACCCATGTCTGGTAAGCCCTAGGCCCAGTGAATGAAATCACAAGACTCTAAGTTCCTTCACATTCCTCTCGAGCTCTATAATTGTAGTACACCACAGAGCCTCACCCTAGGATAGCGTTGAGCTGAGACTAGAAATGCCTGTGTCCCTGAGGACGCTGTAGGTCTGCAAGGGACAGACACAGCAAAGGAAAATCTGTCACCATCATTCCCAAATGTAGGTGTTTCCTGAAGAAGAGACCTGAGTGACATATACTTTGGGGAAAAAAACAAGTAAAAATGAGCAAAGAAAGAAAGAAACGACAGGGGAAAGTGAATAAATATTATTTTCCTTGATTCTGACATCAGGATAAAAAATTAAACACATTAAGGGTGAATTGAGCTAGGCGGTGTCATCCTCTACCCTCAGGTAAATGTATATCCTGCTCATAACTTCAGAGAAAAAGAATAAAGCTGCACATGGTTTCAATATTTTTTCTGTGCTAGAACAATCTAGTTACCTTTTTATTCAATAAGGAGACCAAAATGGCTTGTATTTCCTAAATAATCTTGAATTTATATAATTTGACATTTTTTTTAAAGAAGCCTAAATTGTGATGGCCATCTCCCCATTGCAGGAAAAGAAATGGGAGGGCATCCTACTTTAGGATAACCGCAATATGCAAACATCAGTTCCCACCCGACTCAGGACAGAGACACCTGCGTAATGAACAGTTTACACTAGAAACAGAGAGACCGCTGGTCTCAGGACGTACTGGCCCAAGAAAGGCTGGCGTGACTCTTCTTTTATCCAAGGGGGATGATGTAACCCAGCCACTGCCCAAACCCTCTCTCAGAATGGCAGGCTTCCTCTTAAAACCAGCACCACCTACCATAATTCTCTTAAACAAAAACAGACCAGTGTTGGCCCTCCTATGATTAGCCTCCCAGCTGCCTCTGAACTGCTGATGGAGCACCTCCATATGAATAGCTCAGAAGGTAAGTCATAATTTGATCCCCTCTTGACGTGGCCTCGGTTTCCTATTTTATCATTTTAGGAGATGCTTCCTTTTGAAACTGTCCAACAACCCAGCCCAACTTTTTAAGACCGTCTGCAGTCACCCCGCGGTTGAAGGGCTGAACATCTTTTGCTTTCAGGCATTGCGACATCTTAATGGTGTGATGTGGAACAGGAAACATTAACTCACCCGCTAGTTTCAGTCACACTTCACAGCTTTCTAACACGAGTCAAGGACAATATAGAAGTCAGAAGTCAAGGGGAGTGAGAATGCAGGCACTTCAGAAGAGACAGCATGCAAGAGCATCAGCATAAACATGAACTTCTCAACCAACAACCACCCTCCCCTTTTCACTCCTATTCGATCAACTACATATGATCTAAAATGTTCTAGTGCTCCTTCAACCTGAATGTGTATGAATCACCTGACAAAAGACTGATTCAGTCAGTCTGGGGTGGGGCCCGAGACCCTGCATTTCTAACAAGCACTCAGGCGATGCTGCGGCTGCTTGTTTGAGGACCACACTTTGGGCAGTGAGGGCGTGGGGTCCCTCTCCACATCCTCACCCCCTTCTCACCCTTCCAGTGAGGTCAGGGGAGCCCACAACTTAAAACAGGTTTCCACCTGAGCAAGGCTGAAAACCTGTTTCAAATGAATCTGAAGTGTGGGAAAATAATCGAAAAGAAAGCCAGAAAGAATAATCGCCCAAGCTGCAACAAGTCCTTCCAATTAAACAGAAAAGGAACTCACTGATAGTGCTGCAGAGCTCCCACACTTCAGAGAAGGATCTAGGGGCAGACTTAACCAATGGAAGAAAAAGGGTGAATGCCCTCTCTCCTGGCTGTGTCAGCCTTGAATTTCTTTTATCTCAGTAGTTACCTACAAATTCTGGGTGGATATGTGCGCGCGTGTGCACACACACATACACACACACACACACACACTCCTTCCTTTCATATGGAGAAAACACAAACCAAAACTCCAATACAAAGCCCCGTGTCTAAGCTAAGACAAGTCAAGATTTCCTTGGAGAAAACTAAAATTCGTTTAGGAGCCAGGAAAGAGCTGCCTGAAGCCCAATACCCAGCCCAGAATCTGAGGCCTCCAGCTCCCCAGCTGCTACAGGCAACCCATTAAAGATGCCAGTTTCTCTGGTGCAGCAGGTTTACAGCACCTCCAAGTCCCCAGAGGCAGTTTTACATCCTCAAAGCTTTCACTGAGGGTGAATTTATGAATCCACACCACACCTGCAAGTTCTTCCTTCCCTAGGTGCTATTAAGCCCATTTCACAGATGAGGAAGCAGAGAGAGATGCAAGAGTTGTGGCAACTTGTCAAGCTCATCACAGAGCAAGTCCCAGCGTGCGTCCAAAGTGAGGAGGCTCCAGGCTCTCACTCCCAAGACCGACCCAGCCACTCGGAACATCCGAGTCACAGGCCCTGAAGCGGTGTTCCTTTGGCAAAGACAAAGGTTCACCTTGGACTCCTGCCAAGGAAAAACACATTAGTCCTAAAGGCGTGTCCTCTGTCTCCCCTCACAAACTGCTCGACTTTATAGGATATCCGGGATTAGACCAGCTTCTGCTCACACAAACAGCACCCTCCTGCTGGCTGGCATGCTCAGACATGGTTCTACCAGGGGCACAGAGCAGAGCTGAACAAGAGGCACAGGCCACCAAACCAGCACCAGAGGGGTACCTGTCCATGAGGCCAAAAAAGGGGCATCCCAGGCTGGCCTGTGCGAATTTCACAGTCATGTTACCTGCACCCCCAGCACACTGTTTCTCCAACCTCACTGAGCCCTTCCGTAACCCTGGCAGGGAAGTGTCATTATGCCACCTCATCCGTTCTATGTGTGATCTAGCTAAGCCTGCGATGTCTTCAGCTGTATTTAATCAGCTTGTCTTAGGTCACATAATTTCATGAGTGGCCCTAAATCTACTCACAAGTCTATAAAGATGCACCAGCAGAAATATATTCCATTTTTATTTCTTACTTATTTTATGCATGTATTTATTTTTTAGAGATGAGGTCTCCTTATGCTGCTCAGGTTTCTCTGGAATTCTTGGCCTCAAGTGGTCTTCCCGCCTCAGCCTCCCAAGTCGCTGGATTATAGGCCCAAGCTGTCTCGCCTGGCTTAGACGCATTTCTAATGCTAACATTTCTGCCAGAACACCAACCTTTTTCAGTAAGTCACAATGAACTGCACTGAGGGATGCGTTAACAATAATCTCACCAACAGCAGGAAGGAAGGGACAATGATTCTGGCAACCAGGCAAACAGAGGCATCACCTCCTCTGCAGTCAAACAGGGAAGATCATAAATCCCAGTCTGGGCTTTCAGATCATAATAAGGAGAACGTCCATCTTTGCAAGCTTTGGCGATGTTGCAGACACTGGCTAGGGAGCACTCGCTGTCTCATTTGTAATCGCCACCATAACCTTGCAATGTTACCAATGAGGAAACAAGTTGAGACAGGTGCTTTGTCCAGGGCCCACAGTCAGGTAGAAGAGGATTCCATGTCTGGCTCTCCTGACTCTCAATTTGTGGTATTTCCACCACAACACACCATGGAAATGAGGTGCTTCTGTAAGAAGCACTGAAGACCACCATGCCTAAGAATCATAAAATGCAGCTAACTTCCAGAGGTGTATTAATCAAACCCAAAAGTGTCAGAAGGTTTTTAAAATCCACAAAAATCCACATTCCAATTTTGCCACTAATTTCTGAGACATCATAGGAACACCAACAACACAAGATTGGTGTCACTGCTAAGCTGAAGAGGCAGTCCTCAGAATTCACCCAGCGCTGCTGCCTGTGCTGTGCTGGCTTCTGTCAGCTAAAGCGGAGGACACAGCCCTGGCCTTCAAGAAACCACTGTTGCCATCAGAGAAGCTGAACACTTTCACGAAACAACCTCCAGGCAATTGGGAGAGGTAAAGAGTGATCGAGAAGAAGAGAGAAGGCTTTTTTCTAGGAAGAGGGAAATGCATACTCTCAGAGTTTACTCAGAAAAAGAAAAAAAGCATGATTTTGAATTTTTATTAACATACCGGGAATCTACTAACTTGTAAGTGTCAGATAATAATCTACAAGGTGTCCTCATTTTCCTGTTCTTTGTTAAGACAGGGTCTTTCTCTGTTGCCCAATCTTGGCTGACTGCAGTAACCACCTCCTGTGTTCAAGCAATTCTCCTGCCTCAGCCTCCTCAGTAGCTGGGATTACAGAGGCATGCACCACCATGCCCAGCTAATGGGTTTTTTTTTTTTTTTTTGGTATTTTTAGTAAAGATGGTGTTTCACCATGTTGGCCCAGCTGGTCTCTAACTCCTGACCTCAAGTAATTCACCCACCTAGGCCTCCCAAAGTGCTAGGATCACAAGCGTAAGCCACCACACCCAGCCATTTTACTGTTCTTAATACAGACTATGGTTTCCAAAACCCATTCCAAAGGGCCACTGTGGCGTGGAGGGTGGGGAGGGGAGACCAACTTCTCGGAGTTGGAAGTCCCTCAACTTCCTGAGGTATAACTGTCTCCTCAGCACCCAGCAGAGTCCCTGGCAAAATAAATGCTTAATAAGTATCCACTGAAGGAAAAAAACAAGAAGGAAAAGCTTTGAACTCATGCCCTTACTCAACCATAAGAACTCAACTTTTGTTTATTTTAAAGGTGGGGGGGGGGGCCCGAGTAAGATTTCATTTGGTCAAGGCAATAAAAAAAAAACTGAAAAAAAAAAAAAAACAAAAAACATGAGCTTTATGAGTATCTATGAATATCACAACATTTGCCCTCATTTTTTTCTCTACCACAACATTCATCCAACATGAAGGGCTATTAAATAGAGCTTATTCAAACTCTTGCAAATTTCCAGGATCCCAACCATGTACACTCATCCACGCATAGCTGAACCACATCAATCAATAGTGTAGCCTGTTTAAGAACACAGCCTGTAGGCCAGCTGGGTTTGACCAACATGCTGGCTCATCCAGGTCTCTGCCCAGGACTGAAAATACCCTAGCATCAGCTCAAAGCATGAGCCTCTGATCATGCCAGGTCTGATCCTATGGGATGTGGAAAGAGAATATGAACTGACAGTAGTACCTCTTGACCTAAGAGCTAGAAAACAAGGCACTCCTCTGGAAATGCCGGTAGGTCTGAGGATTGAAAAGATCCTAGGAACACTGAAAGAATAAGGCAAGGGGGTCAGGGAAGGGAAATAACACTGTAAGCTCAACTCCTGGCTAATGGTAAGTTATTTTCCTAAATACATATGCAGCCCCAGTAAATCACCAAATGACCTGTAAACTCTTTTTAGATGGGAGTCTCTCCTCAAGAAGACATCAGGAACGAACATGGAAATGTATGGTGTATAGTCACTGACCTCAAAGAATTCAGAGGAGACTCATTCAAAAAATTTAGTATGAGGTAAAAAGGAGAAGTGTTTCATGAGAGGACCAAGTGGAATGGATGCACAGAGTAAGGAGAGATGAATCCAGCTGAGCCAAGTAAATACGGTTTCTGATAAGAGGAGAGAGATTGTGGATATGTGAAGGAAAAATGGAACTAAACAGGGAAAGTGCTAGAATTTTCTGATCCCTTCAACACACGCTCATTCCACCTCAAGGTCTCCTCTGCCTAAAAGGCTCTTTCTCAATTCTATGCCCTATGCTTTTCCTCTCATCTTCCAACACTTTACTTACAAATTACCTTCTGGGAAGTCCTTCTAAAATAGGTCTCCTTCTTGCAGTCTCTTAAAACATCAGATGCATGTTTTTCATACAATCATCCCAATTTATGCTTATATGTCTCTTGGTTTATTTATCATTTGATTCTTCCCTTAACAGATCACAAAGGCAGGAATCGCAGCTGTTTGGACCACCACCATACATCTAATATATAGTCCAGGGTCTGGCACAAACACAGTACTCAATCCATGACTACAGAATACATGAATGAATAAATGGATGCAAAATGGGGAAGGAAGAGAAAGCATTTCACACAGAGCAAAAGGAGTGGGGACACATGCGAGGAGGGTGTCAGTGATGCTTGAGTAATCTAGAACTGGAGACCACCCCGCAGATGGAGTTTGCAGGGAGATCACAGAAGGCCCAGAATGCTGGGCCAGGGAGCCTGGGCTCTCTTGTGAATAAAAGGAGCCACTGAAGTTTCTGAGCAAACACATGTGACATGATTTGGGTTCTTTCAGGAGGGACATATAAAGACAGAGTTGTCAGCCTCAGGCTATCACAATTATATGCACAGAACATACCAAAGACCAGAATGAGAGATGTCCAGCAAGGAGAATGATACAAGGGGATGGACAGAAGCCAGAGAATTCCGGAACTAAGGGAACATGAGGGGTGAGGGGTCAAGAACAATAAAGAGGCATGAATGACTGGACAGATGAGGATGAAATGAGCAAATGCAGGCAACCCAGGAGGATGAGCAGGCACACGAGAAAAGATGGCAAATCCCATCTCAGAAATGCGTCTGTGGAGATCTGAATGAAGGTCAGGGGGATTTTTTGTGAAAATATCTTCCAGGAGCCTGAAAACGAATTCCAAGAAAAAGATCAGCTCAAAATAGGGCTCAGAGTCCTCTATATGGAGGTAAAGAGTGGAATTGGGAGTGAGGAGGGTAAAATAAGTCACAAACAAGTCCCATCTTCAGGCACTGCTATCATAGTTTTTAATCAAGATAAATACTACGTGGGAAGGGAAGAGCCCCTTTCCTCCTGTAGGATGATGATTCTGTCTTATGTACATTCAAAGCCCTCATATCCTCTCAGAACAAGGAATTCAGTGAGAAAGGACTGGGCATCATTTTGCCCGACAGGACCATGACGATCAGGAAGATATTACGAAGCAGTTCTGAATGCTGTGTCTCCTGCCCGCCTAACCTCCAAATGCGACACAGTTGAGTCCTCTGCCATCCCTTTTTGGTTTTAAAAAAGCCCTTGTTCCAAATGTTTCCTGCTCTAACCAAATTAGTGGAACAGTACAGATACGCATGCCAGTGCAAAATATGGCAGCAGTAAAAGTTGACAGAGCTAATTTTCAATTGTTTTGGCAAAACAGCTTGGTCCACCCCTTCGGGTTTGGAAAGCAATCAGCTTATTAGCAGAGAATGGGCTACTGTATCTTAACAAGCTTGTTCAGAGGCCTGCTTTCTGGTTTTTAATGTCATGAGAGGTCCCTATTGAGAGCTCATTGTTCTAAAGAGGGTTCCCTATGAAATGTCTTTCATGCCCAAGGTTTGAAAGGAGCCCTTCAAGAAGCAGAGTCATAAAACAATAATAATTAAGCAAGTCATGAGATTCAAAGAACATCAGACATTTGTGATCTCTACAATCAGAGACTTGGCCTGGACACGGGTACACACAAAAGAAACTTGAAGGGGAACACTGTAGAGAAAGGGTTAAGCACACACTTCACCTTGGGCTGCAACTGCTGGTGAGCTCTCCCCAAGCCCTGGCTCGACCAGGAGCCACTGCTGAAGCAGGGGCTTTCCTGGCCCTGAGGTCCCGTTCAGCTCGTCCATTCTACTGTGCAATTACAGAATCAATAAAACATCCCTTTGAAACTCCCTGGACTAGTGCCGACATGCAGACAGTAGTCGGCTGACGTTTTTTGCTATTTCCATTATTAGCGCCGGCAAGCATGAGGAGAAGGCATCAGAACCAAGGCACAGGCTGGGGACGAGAAGGTAGATAGGAGTCCAGCTTCACGTGCGCTGCCCTCGAGCTCTGTATAGCCCATAGAGTTATCACCTACAGTCTCACCCATGGGTGGGGGGCCGCCAGACCAAGGTGACATCATTCCCAAGGTGAATGAAATGACAGTGAAGAAAACCTGCAGGAGAGTCTGAGTTCTGTCTGTCTCCACTCTTTTTGGCAAAGTGTGGGGAGGAAGAGCGGCAGGAAAAGAAATTATCTTTTAAGGAAAAAAACTTCTTGGACGGGCTCACCTGAGAAACACTTTTCTTTTTTCTTGGTTTGCTCTGAGCATTTCAGGAATCAAAGGCCTGTGCCAAGGAGCAGGCAGCGAGGCGGAACTCAGCACTTGTGTGTGCTGCTCGTGAGAACTTGGGGGTGGGGCGGCGGGAGTGGGGGGTACTGAAACGTCCCTGTCCATCTGTTGATGTCTGGGTGGCAGAAAATATTGAAATAGAAATAGAAAGTTAGAAAAAGCTCAGGAGCAAAACCTGAAAGAGTATTGTATTTGAAAAGGAAATGTTAGACTGATTGTATAAAAATGGAAAAACAGAATTATGTTCCATAATGATTCGTCTGTGTTAACTAAATATTGAGCTAAAATTTGGTGAAACCCTCAAAATAAGACTTCCCAAGGAAGTTGTTGTCTTTAAGAATCACCGTCATTGAAAGAGAGCTAAATCACACCATGGTGCCCGCTCTCACTCACCTGGTTGGTGGCTTTTTTCATTCACTTTATTAAATACAGTCAAAAATGATGTGTGGTTTCTTCTTCACTCTAAAACCCCAAGACAAGCCCATTACCAGCATTCCTCAAACATATTTGCATATCCAGTGAAAAACAAAATTCGAAATCTTTCCAAGCTACTTCTGCTCTACTGGGAAGCTAGAAAAACTGGCAACTTCAGGAAATGAAGATTCCTTTTTCCTCCATCCAAGCTCACACAGGAAGTGACAAAAGAGATTTTCTCAAACTGGCCTGCTATGCTGACCACAACCTCCACAGAGAAAGACCACCCTGGGAATTAGACAATTCAGGTTTTTTACAGGCTCCCTCCTGACCATACCCAAAAATAGCCACCGCACACCACGGAAAGCCTGACTCGAGGACTTTGCAGGGTGAGCAACTTCGGCATTGCCAACTCAATCAGACAGTCCTTACTTATAAAATAAAGACCACAGCCGTGCACACATAGTAAAATGAGCAGGCGCAAATCTGGTGCAGTATTGCAAGCCGAGTGAATAATAGTATAAAATATCAGAAAGAGAAAGGTTATGAAATTTTCTAACAGATGACAAATTGGTAGCTTTTCCCCACTCTTCTGGAATGGATTCAGTAACAGATTTGAATCCTGGGCTTTGATGCTTGTCTGTGATATGCAGGGATCCCAAGTTCAAGAGGAAAGGAAAAAAAAACCAGAAGTCATCTGCACGTTACTTCACTTACAGCAGGGTCTATTCTTTGCCATTTACTCTGGAAATTATTTGGTTCCTTATTTAACCTGCTTTGATTTAAAACAACATTGAATTTTAAATCTTTTATCTCAGGGTCTTCTATACTTCGAGCTCCCAGACTTATCCCTAAAAGAGGAATCTACCTGCTCAGATTCTCGGAAAATAAAGAGAAAAAGCATCTCATTCTGCCACGTTGGAAGAGAGGCTTAAACTCTGCCTTATGGTGTCTGTCTGTCACCCAAACTCATAGGCTGTGGGGGGCAGACAGCCACATGTCTCTGGGGCAAGAGTGGCCACAGCAGAAGACCGTACAGGTCACTGGCTTCAGAGCAACACGGCAGCCACAACCACCGGGAAATACGGCACCTGTGCCAATGGGCCCCTCCAATTTACATTAAACGCTTTCCTAGATGTTCTCCCCAACCACTTTGATTTTACTGCAACAAAACATTTAGAAGGTGAATGGTAGACAGAACCATTCAGGGAGGTGCGTGGTGGTAGAAAAGCCGGTGGACATGTCCATTGCCTGCATGAAGGAAGCTCAGGTAATCTAGGGAGGGAGGTGGATCTGCAAAGGAGCCATGTAAAGACAGCACAGACAGAAAAAATCCACTCTTGAGGAGTACCACAAATCTCCAACGCCAGCAGAGTTCAGTGGCCTTTCTCTGGTTGGAGGGCAGGAACTCACAGAAGGTTTCATGGAAGAGGAAGCCTTATTCTTCATAGGCGAAGTGGGAGAATAAGCGGCAATGTGTGAGAAGATGCTTGCCCAGGAAGTACCTATGTGATTTCTCAGTGACTTATGTTTCACTCCAGTGAATACTCCTAATAAGAGCTGGCAGCCGGGCATGGTGGCTCACACCTACAATCCCAGCACTTTGGGAAGCCGAGGTGGGTGAATCATCCAAGGTCAGGAGTTCAAGACTAGCCTGATCAATATAGTGAAACCCCAACTCTACTAAAAATCCAAAAAATTAAGTGGCTGTGGTAGCAGGCGCCTGTAATCCCAGCTACTCGGGAGGCTGAGACAGGAGAATCACTTGAACCCAGGATGTGGAGGCTGTGGTGAGCCAAGATCTCACCATTGCACTCCAGACTGGGCAACAAGAGTCAGACTCCATCTCAAAAAAAAAAAAAAAAAGAGCTGGCACGGGTGACTCAGTGCTCATACCATGCTATGCCCTAGGCTAAGCTACGAGCTTCAGGCACTCAATGCTTACCAAGACTCTTTCCCATTTTACAGACAGAAAACCTGAGGGTCCAAGAGATCTGGTAACTTTCCAGGGTCACAAAGCTAGAGAGTGGCAAAGCAGAGATTCAAACCCTGGTCTCTCGGGTCCCACAGGGCCCCACTGCCTGGTTGAATGTTGACTACAACTAAACATAATTCCAAAGGTATTTGCAAAGTTGATAGAAACCTCAGAGCTCCTACCTGCAAACTCCTCTCACAGGCGACAAACACACCAAAGAGGAATGGAGACTAACTTTTCCGAGTCACCCGATGACCCTGGGTTCAATTCAGAATCCAAGCCCTGACTTTATTTTTCTTTCCAGGTATTTATTCTGACTTCACTGTGTAGTACATATGGAAAACCAAAGCCATATAGTGATTTTTTTTTAAAGACTCAATTTAAAAACAACCATACATGCAATTCCTCCTGCCGTGTTGCACCTGGGTGTCATTCCATGTTGCAGCTGAACCATCAGAGAAGCAGAGAGAACCTACGACCAAGCCTCAGGATCTAGTCTTTGAAAACCTATTTATGGCAAGAATTTCTTAAGGGCCAACCAATGTGCCAGGGGCACTCTTTAGAGTAAGCTGATGCTGACATCGGTGTCCTCAAGAACTTCCATTCCCACAGAGCACTAAGCAACTAGGATGGATTGAGATGTGCAGTGATCAGCCACTGACAACCATGGTGTGCAGAGACCTCTCAGGGCTGACCCTGCTGTGGCCTGGAACAGCAGCCCAGCACGGACGCAGAATGTTCCCTTTTGCTACTTTCCTGCACCCATCATATTGGCTTTTCCATCTCCTCCCTGGTCCTGCAAACAGCATTTTCCCCTTCCCTTTCCCTGTCTCACCACCCCTGAACCAGCTTCTGACCTTGTACCCCTCCCTGCATTCAAAGCACAATTGACGCACCCCTCCCGGGCCCTGGCCCAATGACCCTCATTCTTCTCTCCCTTTGGACACTTCCTTTTCCTGTCCCTCCCAGTCTCATAATCTGCTCCTAGTCCACCGGGTCCCCCAGGCTACACCCCACCTCACAGGGCAAGGCCTGAGCTGGCTCTGGTATCTCAGCTGTGGCTTTAAAGGGTTTGGGCCTGACACCCTGGGTGCCTGCAGCACCCGAAACATGGGACCAGAACACCAGCACTACTCATGATCACTTCACACTATGCCCAAGCACCCTTTCCCCGCCAAAGAAGCAGAACCAGCATTTACAGCATTTACATTCATTTTCAGGCTTAAGTGTGGAGCTCCTAAGTCAAGCCTTCAAAGCAGTTCGACACTTAACACTGACAGGAAATGTGAACATGTTAAAAAAAAAAAAAAACACCCCATGATTTGGCTGAGGAACTATTCTTTGCAATGTTTCCAAGGATATACCAGAGTCTGAGCTTTCAGACAAATAACAGTGGGTTTGAATGATTCTAATGGTTAGAACGCTCTGATCATTTTGTACCTGCTTGGTCTTCTTGGATCTTTCAGTGTTTAAAAAAAAAATAGTGACTTGAGTAACTCATTTTGTCGTTTTACCCCCTTCTCTGTGATAGGAAAATCAGTGATGATGGTAGAGATATTATATGTAACTCTATACATGTTATTATATGTAAGACCAGCCATCAAATGGTAAAAATCATGTCATGAACTATTGACACACATGGACCCTGAAGAACACACAGCAAGTCAGCCTGAACTTGCCCGACCACTTGAGGCATTGTTTTTAAAACTATAAAATCAAATTGTAGGTGCCAGATTTTGCCATGTCCCTTTGTCTCTAAATGTCAAAACACTTTCCAGTCCTATGAGAACAGAGCCAGGGTTTCATGTGTGTTCCTGTAATACACATGCAATTGATCAGGGAAACAACCTTATGGGTCCAACCATGAGAAATAAAAACATGCAAAGGCTTCCAATACATTCAGTATCTGACATCACACATCAGAGAGAGCGCAGGCAGGGGAGACTCTGAATAATCTCTGATTGTGCCAGGGGGAAGGGTCTGTAAACTAAAATAAAAATGCACATTAAAAACGTGCATGCTGTACAAACAGAATATAAAACAGGTTCACGGGGGCTCTATTTTCCTCCCTGGTGAGATAAGTTCTCCCCAGCTTGCAGTGTATTCTGGACTCCTGCTAGCCTGTTTTATATTACTCAGGAGAGCAGCTCCAAGCCCATCCAAGCCCCTACGTGAGTTTTCTCTTCCCTGACTAGTTACCTGGATGAGCGTGAATGCCCTGGTCAGCAGGTATGCAAAGGTGTGTCTACACTTACCTGCACCGTCTGCCAGCCCCTGATGGCACAGGAAAGCTTTGATCACATCAGTCACAGATGCATGCCAAATGGAAACCCAAGCCCACGTTACAGCTTCCTAGCTGGCTTAACTTGCTCCGTTTATCTTCATATGCCTCAAGTTTAGTTTTGGAAAATTAAAGACCAAGCACCATAATGAACGTGTCTACTACACAATGCTTTTAACAACCAAACAAAAGAGTTACAAAATATTTCTTAGATAAGGCACTAACAGGAGAAGGGAAGAAATCAAGATCCAAAGTTCTGACTCTTAAGGAGTTTACAGTCCAGCTTGAAGAAACAGGAAAATACATCTCCAAAGACAAGGAGCTCTGAAGAAGTATGTGTTAAAAGCCAAGGGAAAGATACAGAAAAGAATGATGCTAGGCACCGGATCCTAGAGGCCCCAGAGGCCTTGCTCCACCCCAGGCTGGATGAAAGCTTCAGGAGACACCTCCTTCCCAACTCCAGTCCTAGGAATCCACCTGCAGGCTGCACCTCCCACTGTCACTCTGAAAATTTGCAAGTTCAAGTCCCAACTTCCTTCAATACAGGAGTCCAGAAATGGGCTTCCAGCGTCCAGGAAGTGCCTGAGGCCTTATGTTTTAAAAGTATTGTGCACATGTACATTATGTACAATGATGCAAATTAAAGAAATGTACACAAAAGCACTGTATATCCTTCCTGGGCACTCATGCATATGAAATAGTAAAACCAGAAGGTGACCCTCAGGAGGGGATTGGGGTGTGTGTGTGTGTGCATGTGTGTGTTTAAGGAAGAAGGTGGAGGAAGGGGAAGGAGTTAGGCTTAAATGATAGTAATTAGAGGAGACTTCTTTTGCCAGAGATGCTGTATTTCTTTTTTTTTTTTTTTTGAGACAGAGTTTCATTCTTCTTTCTCAGTCTAGAGTACAATGGTATGATCTCAGCTTACCACAACATGCACCTCCCAGGTTCAAGCAAGATCTTCCTGCCTCGGCCTCCTGAGTAGTTGGGATTACAGGCAAGTGCCACCAGGCCCTGCTAATTCTGTATTTTTGGTAGAGACGGGGTTTCTTCATGTTGGTCAGGCTGGTCTCGAATTCCCAACCTAAGGTGATCCGCCCACATCAGCCACTCAAAGTGCTGGGATTACAGGCGTGAGTCACCATGCTGGGCCCAGATGTTGTATTTCTTAAAGGTAATAGAGTAAAGGTGAATACGATGAAATGCCAAAAGTTATTAATTCTGGGTAGTAAGAAGATGAACATTTGTTCTGTACACACATGTGCCTGCACACAGACAAGTAGAGAGGCTTAGAGATTTTTCAGATTTACCAAGGAGTCCATGACCACCAAAGAGTTTAAAGCACTTGACTGATGGGCCCCTGTCACCTCCTTCTCTCTTGTCTTTGATCTTCTATAGCCAGGTATTAGATGGCCATTGCATAGCCCATCCTGTTCAGCTTTATGGCATTTCATCAGTTCTTAAAAATTGATAATTAACACCCGAGTTTTCAGCTATGTCATTCTTTTTCTCATAAGAGCTTAAAGTAATAGACTTCAATACAAAAGGAAAAGTGGAGGTTGAGGATGAGGAGGAGGAGAGGAAGGAGAAGGGGAAGAGAGGAAGGGAGAAGGGGAAAGAAGGAAGGGAGGGAGAGAAGGGAAGCAGGAAGGAAGGAAGGAGGGAGGGGGAGGGATGGAGAAAGAAAGGGAGGAAGGAGGGAGGATGGAAGGAAAGAAGGAAGGAGGGGGAGGGAGGGAGGATAGAAAGAAGAAAGGAAGAAGAAAGGAAGGAAAGAGGAGAAACTGTCTACATATATTAATACTCTATTATGTCACAACTGAAAAGGCATTTCTGATTTTTCAGAAAATGTGGGTTCATGCCATGCAGGAATTTCTAATTATTCCTATGACACATTTCCCAAACTGTTCCTGGTATGGGCTCTTCACATCCTCAAAAGGCACTGTCTCCCCTCAACAGTCCCTGCCGCCTCCAAAGTAAGTTTCATTTGGAAAACTCTACCCATGTTCAAAATCCCTCTGAGGTCAACAGAGCACACCATTGTGCTAAATCCTGAGAATCCTGCAGCTAAAATTCAAATAAAATAAAGATGCGGCCTGGTATAAGCTGGTGTTTTCCAACTGATTTTCACCATGGAATAGTTTCTGCATGGAACAACTGTGCTGGGGAACCTGTGGTCTAAGGAGTGTGGGGAATGCTGGCCCTGGTGGTGATGAGACCTTCTGGATTTCCCACTACAGTCCACATTTCAAATACCCATCCTATGGTCCCTGTAAACATGACTCACTCTCATAAAATCAGCAATCCTAGTTTTAGAGTCATAAAATATGGTCCCTATTACAATTCCATGTATTTCCATAAATCCCTTAAGGAACTGACTCACACAGCCCCTTATAATACTAACAAGAAAAGAACAAAAAATTGCAAGGATTCATGACCCCAACAGCACCGAACGGACTGTAGTCATAAACCAAGTCTGAAGCACATCCTCCAAAAGCGATGACAAGAACACACCACAACACCTGGAAACCTACTCCACCTTGGCATCAGCCAGGCAAGCGGAGATCTGTAGGCAGGAACAGTACAGAACACCTGTTATAATCATCGAATTTCTGTATGTATCTGAAACATCTAAAACATCGCAAACAAAATGTAACCCCCTTACCAATCAAAGCAACACCGGTACACACAATACCATTTTCACCCATCAAATTAGGGAATATTTTCACATATAATACCCTACATTGTTGGAGTTTAGGGAAATGGGCCTTCACACACAAAGCTGATTGAGAACAAACTCGGTATCACCATTCTGAAAAACAGAAAGTTAGCATTAACATTTCTCAGTCTCTTTGATCTAACAATGTCACTTCTAAGAATGTATAAAAAGGAAAACAAGGCTGAGGGTGGCAGCTCATGCCTGTAATCCCAGCACTCTGGAAGGCAGGCAGATTGCTTGAGCCCAGGAGTTCGAGACCAATCTGGGCAAACCCAGATGATGAAAACCCACCTCTACAAAAAATACAAAAATTAGCCAGGCTTGGTGGTGCACACCTGTTGTCCTAGTTACTTGAGAAATGAAGGTGGGAAGATCACTTGAACATGGGAAGTTGAGGCTGCAGTCAACTACGATCACGCCATTGCACTCCAGCCTTACTGACAGAGTAAGAACCGATCTCAAAAAAAAAAAAAAAAAATTAAAAAAAGGAAAACAAATCGTGAATACATACAGAGTTTGGAGGTATAAGAAGCCAACAGCCATTCTCCACTGGGGTCTTCCGACTCACCAGCAATGGCAGATGCACTGGACTCGGGCAGAGTGAGGGAGCAAAATTTGGTCCCACCACAGAAACACCGCAGGTCTCTCTGAGCGTCCCACAAAGAAGAGGGTATCACAGAACTCAGCAATGGTCCCGCTATCCTCTCTCTCTACCCAGCATAAAACACAAGCGCAAAGGGTGGAGCAGCATGAACTTCTCTGATTCTGCAATCATCATCTGCTAACAGGATCATCCCATAATGCCTTTGGGAATAAAAAGAAACCCTGCTGAACAGGAATAAACAGCCTGTTCCTCTGGCTGGGGCATAGGAGACCCAAACCAAAAAGATGATCAGATAAAAAACGAGCTGCCCTGAGAGGACAGGGCCCCTGCAGACAAAAAGAGAAGCTTGGTCCCAGGAGGTGGAGAAAAGCTGTGCATATGACACTGAGTCAAAGAGAGCCCAGGGATCTGCAGATGGGAGGGGCAAAAACTTAACATGGATTAAAACAAGAACTGACTTATTTCCAGAAGAAATGTGTTTATGTGATTTTTCTCTATTACTTATATGAAAGTAATGGGATCAAAGCAAACAAAATAATTGAACTATTTATTACCTTCAGGAAAATGTAGGCATCTAACATGTTCAGTTATGCACAGGAATTAAAGGAATTGAATAACATGTAGACTCTTTAAGGACAATGTGTCTGGTTTTGCTCAGCACTGGATTCTTGGCTCTTAAAAATAAAATCTATTTCTGAATGAATGAATGAATGAATGTTGTCCCTTATTCTTCATTTTCTGGCAGCCTCATTTAATATGAGCTACACTGGCCTGAAAGTACTGGTGTTTTTGGATTGCTTTAAAAAATGTGAAACAGCAAGACTAGTCCTATTTCCACTTATTTATCCACCTTTAAGAGTCACCTGCTGTGGCACGAGTCCCTGTGCATTCCATTATCTCTGCTGACTCTCCATCCTCCTGGCCATCAGCAGAGGAACCTCTGGCTTACAAAAGGATTTAACATCCTAGCACAGTAGGGATTTCGACTTACAGCCACCTTCTCCAGGCTCCCCTCCACTCACATAATTTTGATCTCCAAATATTGAGAATGTCCCTCCCTTGGGTCTTTCGGACCTCATTTATGCCCCACCAGCAACTAATGACCAAGATCCAGTCTTCATCACAAGGCATGGTAGGCCCATTCTGCAAATAGAATTATATAGATTTAAGGAGGTTTCAGTCTAATTTGGAGAAAAAAAACACCAGTCTCCATAGATACAAGCTTTTCAACATATTGCTTTTTTGCTCTCCTGTCTTCTTACACGGAGAATGTCAATGCAGAACCAGAATATTTATAAGTAAATTACGAAGGCTGGAGGACAAAGCATCCCACCCAGCCCTCCCCACCCCCACTGGTGGAGACCACAGGGCAGAGTGGATGGTAGCAAGGATGGGGGGGGGGGTCTTTGCGAGGAATAAAGCCTTACGGTTGGAGCTACAACACGCTCTCCACGGCTATATTGGAAGGAGGACACCAGCTCGCTGCTCTCACAACTCATCTTCCTCTCCACCACTTCATTAAATTGCACAGGGATGGGACTGCCTATTCAGGTGGCAGGCAGGCAATGAGGGTGCCAGGCCTTGTGTTTCCACAGATGCGGAGCTTGGGGAGACTTCAGGCTACAAGCAGCACATGTCCTGCTGGCAAAGTGGTCCAGGTGTGGTTATGGCTGCATGAGAGCTGCTCAGAACCCTGAAAGCATATATGCCAATGATTGCTTTTTCCTGGTTCCTGACAACCTTTTTGTGTGTCTATGTGCACAGGGTGGGAAGGGGAGAAAGAATCAAAGGCAGCAGTGATGTAATGAAAACCTTCAAGAAAAGATGGGGAGGAGTCTGAAAGGCAGTCCATTCTTTTTCTTTCAGGAAGCAAAGGTAAAAAACAAAACTTATAAAGAAGAAGGAAAAATACAATTACTATATGATCCAGCATTTCCACTACTGGCAATATACCCTAGAGAACTGAAAGCAAAGACTTAAGAGATATTTGTATACCCATGTTCATGGCAATATTATTCACAACAGTCAAAAGGGGGCAGCAAGCCAAGTGGTCCGCAAAGGATGGATAAACAAAACGTACGCACAGTCAACAGAATATTATTCAGCCTTTAAAAGGGAGAAGGGGCCAGGCGCAGTGGCTCACGTCTGTAATCCCAGCAGTTTGGGAGGCTGAGGTGGGAGGATCATTAGGAGTTTTAGACCAGCCTGACCAACATGGCGAAACCCCATCTCTACTAAAAACACAAAAAAATTAGCCAGGCATGGTAGCGCACACCTGTAATCCCAGCTGCTTGGGAGGTTGAGGCAGGAGAATCGCTTGAACCTGGGAGGCAGAAGTTTCAGTGAGCTGAGACTACCACTGCACACTCCAGCCTGGGCAACAGAGTGAGACTCTGTCTCAGAAAAAAAAAAAAAAAAAAAAAAAAAAAAGAGGAGGTTCTGAATCCTGCTGTAATAGGACAGGCATGTACCTTGAGAACATTATGCTAAGTGAAATAAGCCAGTCACAAAAAGACAAATACTATATGATTCCACTTGTAGGAGGTATCTCGAGTTGTCAAATTCATAGAAAGTAGAATGGTGTTTGCCAGGGGAGGAGGGAGTTTCAGTTATGCAAGATGAAACAGGTCTGGAGATTGGTTGCACAACAATGTGAATATACGTAACACGACTGCGCTCCACGCTTCAAAAAATGTAACAGGATGAATCCTGTTATGCGTATTTTGCCACGATTAAAAATAACAAACAAGAGCAGGTAAAGTGGCTCACGCCTGTAATCCCAGCACTTTGAGAGGCCGGGGCAGGGGGGATTGCTTGAGCCCAGGTGTTCGAGACCAGCCTGAGTAACAAAGTGAGACCTCATCTCTACACAAACATGTTTAAAAAACTAGCCAGGCCTGGTAGCATGTGTCTGTAGCCCCAGCTACCCAGGAGGCTGAGGTGGGAGGATCACTTGAGCCCAGGAGGTTGAGGCTGCAATGAGCTGTAATCATGCCACTGCACTCTAGCCTGGGAGACACAGTGAGACCCTATCTCAAAAACAAAATTAAATTAAATTAAAATTAAAATAAGGAACAAAAAATTGGAAAAATAAACAGGCAAAAGACCCTACCCTGTTCCTCACACTTTAAAGTGAAACTGGTATGAAACAGAAAGCATATACCAGGAATATTTTAGGAATTCTTCTTCCCTGTCAGCTATGACAGTACTTCAGTAAATACCAGTTGACTGGTTTTAAAAGGTAACTGCATTCCCTGTTGCAAATGGTAAAATATAAAACTTTTTCAGCTGCCTCTTGTGAAATTTTTTTCCATATTCTAGATTAGAGACCTAGCTTAGCAGTGCCTTGAGTCAGGGTAAATACCTTTGCTAATCATGGCACGACTCCCTAAGTGAGACTGAACTACAGGTCAGTCATTCTCATGGAAGTAGAGGGTGGCTTCAGCCCCTAGGGGACATGCATTTGGAAATGTCTAGAGACGGTCTTGGCTGTCACTGTGATAGGGCAGGAATGAATGGCAGAGGTAAGGATGCTGCTACACATCCCACCAGGCACAGCACAGACCCCACAACAAAGAACTTTCTGACCCCAAATGTCAACAGTGCTGAGGTTAGCAACTGTGCTCCAGATTGGCCTAGCAGTTCAGGCCTTTTGTTCGTTTTGCTCTTCCTCTTACCCATGCTTGTGAGCAGGCAGTGAAGTGAGTAGTCGCTAACATGTCAGGCCCTGGCTAAATGCTCTAGGAGAATGATCTTCTGATGCCCCCAGCGTCACTAACAGGGAACCATTTGGAGAGGTTGAGGAATGTATCCAAAGTCAGTGCCACTGGTGGAATTTTAAATCAGCCCTTACAGACCCCCAGGGTGGCGTTCTTACCTCTCCTTCATAAACCCTCGAGTTCTCAAACTCAGTCTGGCTGGTGGGCAGCAAGCCAGAGCACCAGTGCTCAACAAGACACGCTGTAGAGAACACTGGCATTGGGAATTGTTAGCCAAGTCCCTTCTGTAGAGAACACTGGCATTGGGAATTGTTAGCCAAGTCCCTTCCCACTGAGCCCCTTCAGCATCTTGGCAGCCTATCTACCCCACTCAGACTGCAGAATAATTTTTGGATTTGAGGGGAAATTGGGGAAAAATTATTTCCTAGATTTTATAAAGCTTACTGCTGTTTGTACATAATCAGTCTCCGTTCTGCCTGATGCTACCTGCATGAAGAGGGCTTCACCAACTATGTTCTTTTTTTTTTTTGAGATGGAGTCTCGCTCTGTTGCCCAGGCTGGACTGCAGTGGTGCAATCTCAGCTCACTGCAACTTTGGTTTCCCAGGTTAAAATGATTCTCCTGCCTCAGCCAACTGAGTAGCCGGGATTACAGGTGCTGCCACTACACCTGGCTAATTTTTGTATTTTTAGTAGAGACAGGGTTTCACCATCTTAGTCAGGCTGGTCTCAAACTCCTGACCTCGTGATCCACCTGCCTCAGCCTCCCAAAGTGCTGGGATTATACATGTGAGCCACTGCACCTATAATGATATCTTCACCAGAACCTTCCCATTCAGAAGCCATGCCTAAAAGACGTTGAGAATTCCCAAGCATTAAACCTCTCAGGAGGTGAATCATCAAGGCAAAAATCATCATGCCTCAAAGCCCTATTCAGACTTGGTGCCCCACTTCTGTGAAGCTTGACCATATATGTCCCAGAGGCCCCAGTTGTTGTTTGCTTCTGCACAGTTGATAATGTAACACCCTGACATCGTACGCATACTTCTCTACATTTACCATTAGCCAACCGAACTGAGTTGCTTGACACAGGGGCTGCCTGCACGTCTTTGTATACGTTTTGCATATTACAACAGGCCACCTACAGCACCTTTCAAAAATGGCTAAAGACCTTGAAAAGCTAAAAAAAAAAACAGGTTTTTGTGTATCAAGTAAAACACACAAGGAGACACCCACAGGAGGACACTGGTGTCTTCCTCTGAATCTTGAGAATGTCCAGCTGATTTTGGTGAAATTATTCACGCAAGTCTCTCCCGATAAGTTGGGCACTGGGACGTCTGGAGAAAGCTAAGTGGGCACTGAGGTCCTCTCTGTCGTCCGTATCATCCTGCACCAAACTAGCCACAGCCTCAATAATAATGCCACAGAGATGCTTCCTCCAGTCCATTGTCTTGTTTTTTTTTTCTTTTGTTTTGACAACGATCACAGCCACCCCCAAGTCTGGATTTGTCAAAAGCCCAGGCCTATTGCATCAGGAAAACCAGGGGGAAGGTGACTGCAGGGGAGGTTGCCTGCTCAAAACAAAATGAAAGCATGCAGATTGTCAGCCCCACGTGGGACTTAATCTGAATCTCTGGGGGTGGGGCTCCAGCATCTGTAGTTTTTATTTAAATCTTATATTTATTTATTTATTTTGAGACAGAGTCTCGCTCTGTCACCCAGGCTGGAGTGCAGTGGCGTGATCTCAGCTCACTGCAACCTCCGCCTCCTGGGTTCCAGCGATTCTCCTGCCTTAGCCTCCCAAGTAGCTGAGACTACAGGCACCCGCCACCACCCTTGGTTTCTTTGTAATTTTAGTAGAGACGGGGTTTCACCATGTTAGCCAGGATGGTCTTGATCTCCTGACCTCATGATCTGCCTGTCTCGGCCTCCCAAAGTGATTTTTTTTTTTTTTGAGACAGAGCCTCACTCTGTCACCCAGATGCGGATAGAGAACAATGGTGTGATCTCGGCTCACCGCAACCTCCTCCTCCTGGGTGCAAGCAATTCTCCTGTCTCAGCTTCCTGAGTAGCTGGGATTACAGGCATGCATCCAATTTTTTTGTATTTTTGGTAGAGATGGGGTTTTACCATGTCGGCCAGACTGGTCTCAAACTCCTGACCTCAGGTGATCCGCCTGCCTCAGTCTCCCAAAGGACTGGGATTACAGGCGTGATCCACTGCACCCAGCCCTTATTTTGTTTTTAACTGACACAGTAATTGTATATATTAATGGGGTACAGTGTGATGTATTGATACATGTATATATGGTGTCATGATAAAATCAGGGTAATTTGCTTATCCATCACCTCAAACATTTATCATTTCTTTGTGATGAGAACATTCAAAATTCTGTCTTCTAGCCATTATGAAATATACAATATATTGCTGTTAACGACAGTCACCTTACTGTAAAACAGGATGCGGGCATATATTCTGCCTATCTAACTGTGACTCTGGGTTCACGCCTGTTGGTCTAACGAGACCTCCAGGTGACCCTGATGCACAGTGGAGTTGGAAAGCCACTGCCTTCACTCCATGCTTCTCAACAGTCCTGAGCATCAGGATCGCCTGCAGGGCTGGTTAAAACACAGACCGCCAGGCCTCAGGCCAGATTTTCCGACTCTGCCACTCTCCCTCCAATGGGGCCCCAAAACGTGCATCCCTAGCAAGTTGCCAGGTGATTTCATAGAAATCTGGTCTATGGGGATTTCATAGACCAAAGAAGGGAGCTGAGTCTCATTTTGTATCCTTCTGTCATTTTTTTCTTACTTGTATATATTTTTAAATAAGGAATGGAGGCTGTCAGCTGATGAGAAAATTCTATGGTATTGTAAGGTGGCCTTATGATGATCTAAGACTGTATCAAAATAACCTCTTCAACAGAATACTATTTCCCCTTCTACCCTTCTCTCCCAATATTCTGTGAGACTCCCAAAGGCAAAAAGCACCCCACATTTTGGACCAGCAGCTTAGCACTCAGCCTCCTTCAGAGGGGCTTCACTGGCCAGTCCCAGCCCAACCAGTTTCTACCTAAATACTCGCTCCCTATGCGCTGCAGCTACTGACTTCGCCTCAAAGTGATTTCTCTCTCAAACGCCTAGCACATCAACGTCAATTGGCACTGGTTTCTGTTAACGAACAGACTGGCCTGCGCCAACCACAGCTTACCACACGTGTACTCAGCCTACTTCCCTATTTTCAATGCCTAATGGTTTTTGCTGCGCCTGAACACATCTGGAGGGAGCCAGGCCCACTGGCTGCCTCTTGTCCCACTCAGCCCTCCTACAAGGGTGCACTCAGCAAGCCCTCCAAGTATAGACAGGTTCTACAATGTTGCTCCAAGTCAGAGAGGGGGCCTCAAACAATCAAGGATTTTTTTTTTTTTTTTTTTTTTGGAGAAATGATCAAACCCGGGGGTGGGGACAGAACTTCCTGCAAGAAACCGCATCCTGAACAAGCATCACCACGACTCACTGTAAATAAATACTCTCTCCTTGCAGCACTTCCGTCAACTGTCAGGGCCCTGGCTCCAATCGTCTTTCAAGTCCAAACAGGAAAGGGGAGAAAAGAGAGTGAGATGGCAGATAGGAGGTTTAATTTGCTTCTTGCTGCAGTTTTCATTGGTGGGGCGCTTCCAATTCAGGACTGCCAGCTGCCTGAAATTGCTCCTGGACCCCACTTTTTCCTGTTAACCTTCATAATTGTATTATTACGGGCCAGTCCACGACTGGCCTACCCAAGGCTCAGAGGAGTGTGGCTGCTTCCCTGCATCAGATAAGCAGCCAAAATCAAACAGGCCTGCTGCAGACAGAAAGGCATGTTTGCGAGGGATGCTCTCTGTACATGCCTCTGCTGGGACTTAACCCAAGGGATTGGGAGGAGGGGGAATGGCCATGGGGAACTGGAGGGTAGAGGGTTGAAGAAGGAAATAAGTCAGTGACCTCAATTTTCTGGAAAAACGAATGTGGAGGATATCCTTTTCAAAGAGCACAATATGGCTGGGCAGGGGAAGATGTGCAAGGGAGATCGTTCATCTCAATAACAGCAATCGCAACTACTTCTGGAGTGCAGACCACGCGGCAGGCATGGCATGAAGGGCTTCGGTGTGCCTTTAGTCCTTAGTGTTGCCCATGGTACCTGTGAGGGAGGTGCCAGAACCTCCATTTGACCGATGAGGAGGCCAAACCTGGACGGCTACAGAAATACAGTCTGGTTCACAAACTGTAAGTGGCAAAAGCAGGAATTCAAACTCAGTTTTGCCTAAATCAGGGCTGCTATGAACAGCTGAGAAGGATGAGAACCACACAACTGAAACGACTGCCACACACATCACAGGCAATGTAAATGGCAGCTCTTTGTGTTTTGCCTGAACTGGAACGGGCCTGCTGCTGAAGTCTACTTTTTAACCATGGAATATACCACCTTCCAAAGGTTCTGGAAAATAAAAATGAGCTCCAGCCAGACAGCTTCTCAAGAAGTTCTAAAATTCTAAGGTACTTTGAACTCCATGGCATTCAACCAAGTCAATTCGTCCTACAGAAAAAGGGCCTTTCTTTGTTGAATTCTCTAGAGTTCAAATTTCCCATCTGTTTCTATGTTATGGGATTAAGCCCCAAGTCTTTTTAAACAGTACTGAAATTATCAATGCCTGGCATAGATAAAAATATCAACAGAAATTTATATCTATCTTTTTTTTCTTTTTTTTGAGATGGAGTCTTGCTCTGTCACTAGGCTGGAGTACAGTGGCACAATCTCGGCTCACTGCAAGCTCTGCCTCCTGGGTTCAAGCGATTCTTCCACCTCAGCCTCCTGAGTAGCTGGGACCATAGGCATGTGCAACCACGCCCGGCTAATTTTTATATTTTTAATAGAGATGGGGTTTCACCATGTTAGCCAGGATGGTCTCGATCTCTTGACCTTGTGATCCGCCCGCCTCAGCCTCCTAATCTTTCTTTTTTTTTTTTTTGAGACGAAGTTTCACTCTTGTTGCCCAGGCTGGAGTGCAGTGGCACAATCTCGGCTCACTGCAACCTCCACCTCCTGGGTTCAAGTGATTATCCTGCCTCAGCCTCCCAAGTAACTGGGATTATAGGCATGAGGCACCAACCCCTGCTAATTTTGTATTTTCAGTAGAGACAGGATTTTTATCATGTTGGCCAGGCTGGTCTTGAACTCCTGACCTCAGGTGATCCACCCACCTCAGCCTCCCAAAGTGCTGGGATTACAGGTGTGAGCCACCATGCCGGGCCTATATCTGTCTTTTGACAGATACACGTAACTATTGAAAAGAACTGGTGGATAAGTGAACGAATGAACAAACGAATGAAGGAACTCAGGCATTCAATGTATTACCACAAGGACGAAAGCTACGACAGTTCTTGCCCTTTGCTGAGAAGCCTGGGCTTCAAGGAGAAACGGACGCTCTGCCATCCTGCTAAGACTGACTTCCATAAAAGCTGCTGTCACTCGGGGGCACCCTTGATTTTTTAAAATATAACTATGGAAATTCAGGCTCGGGCACAGTGGTGGTAGCAGCTCTGGTTGCGGATGGAGGTAATATAATACATTGTTGGCAGCCCGGGAGGAAGCAGGGAGGGTAATGAGCAGAGAAAAAGCATGTTCAAGAATGAAGGAGTGGGTGAAACCTCATAAACTCTTCACAGACAGGACATGCCCCTGGAGCCTCTGCCCTAGGGAGGGAGGAAGCCAGGCGGCTTCCCAGAGGCAGAGGAGGGGGAAGCTGGAGACAGGGCTGAGGTGCCCAGGGCACCCGCTGCCACACACTGAAAAGTAAATTAAATTAATAAAAGTAAAAATGAAGCATTGCATGTAGCAGCAAAGTGTTATTAAAACACTGTAATGTCTCAAAGGTTCCTATGAAGTCATGTTCTTACAATTCACTTATAAGAATTTAAAGACAAAATTATATGCCCTGTAATTCTCCAGTGAGTATGTTTCTCTATGGATCCCATTGTTTGGATGGGGTGCACAGCTTCCAGCAGGTTTAAATCACTGAAGGCATTTTGAGAAGTGGAGCTTTCCAGAAATCTGGCTGCACATTCCTCAGCAGGAGTAAGTGTCAATACAGACTATGTCCACACCCGCATGTATACCAGTACATCTATTTCAGGACATGCTTTCCATCAGGGTGGCAAACTCAAATGTCCAATGGGGCCAGGCGGTTGCTTCAAAAAATTCAATGGATGAAGCAGGCAAGGAATCGAACACCAGGCAGTGGGTACGAATGCATCCCAAACAGACAGCTGGGACAAGCCCATCTAAATGGGCACTTGATCCCAGCATGGGAGAGGGGCTGGTGTTACTATGTCTTTGGTTTATTACAAGTCAGAAATCTGGGTTTTGCATAAGGAATCTCAGTAGATAAATGCCAGTGATCAATAAATACCTTATTTAGAATACCATACAAGCTTACGTGTAGTTGTGGCCTGAATACCTCCATCTATACCTGTGTCTACACATACAGCAAGAATGACTGTTTAAACTTAACCACTATGTTTCCAGGCCCTCTTACACTTTCTCAAGCTAGTTCATGAGGCACCCCAATGAGCTTACAAACAGTATACCCACTAAGATGAATAGCCTGAGTCAGGGAAGACACTGCCAACCTGGGCAGTAATCGGCAACCAGGTGCCACATGGCTGAAGTCAGATCTGAAAGGGAATCACTCCAGCTGGAAGGAACTAGGTGAGTGGCCTGGTTCCACAGGTCTGCATGCCAACCTGCTCCATTTCCAATGTACTTTTCACTTCTGGACAGATGAAACCATCAAGGCCTGTGTCCAGTTACCACACAGGAATGAAGAGGACCTGCTCAGGGAGAGTGTGGAAAAGGTTCATGCTAGCAGCATGATCCTTTAAAGGAAGCTCATCTGTGTCTAGCATGCCCTACCTGTTCAGACACAGGTTGCAACAGTTATAAGCAGAGCACTTCTAAAAGAATCTGGTCTTTTTCATATATTTTTTAAATTAAATTTGCATACTAGTCAGAATGGGGCAGGAGGGGTGGATATCATGTCTCTTTCTTTCATCCTTCTCAAGATCATAGAGAAATTTCAACACTTGCAAGTACAGAATCTATACAATATACTGGCAACTATGCAAGGACAGAATCAGCCAGAGACAAATGTAGACATGTTCTGAAAGAAGAACCTCAAATGACTCATTCTTCCAGTTTTCTCAAACTGATTTCAGCTTTGAGGAAAGAGGCTTCATTCATACACACCACACATCAGACAGTGCCAGACCTCATGGAACCCTTCATGGGTTGATGGCTCTAAACAATGCTTCCCTGCCGAGGAATGTGAATGTTGCCAGCCTTGGGGAGGGAACCCCAGCACAGAAACAGACTCTTTCTAAGATTTCAATCTTAGTGATTGACAGGTACCTCCTGGTCTATCAGGAGATCTCTATCCCCTGACCAGGGTTAAGGATTCCCACTGCTTCCTTTCCCCTTATGCACACCTCTGTGAATGGCTTCCACAAAGAAATGTACAAAATCCTGCTCCATTAAGTCTGTGAAAACAGTATGGGCACTCAGTGCTTTCCTCATTCTGCAAAGAAAGGCTGCTGACTGGTAAGATTGAAGCAATACTTAAGAAAGAAATTCTGGTACCTCTCCCAAAAGACAAAGTGTACCTGTAATAATAACCCTGGACTATTAATGAAACATAGCAAGCACTATGCAGTTGTCAAGACCACTGGTATTACGAGCGCTGGCTCAGGGGTTAGGGTCTGTTGTTACTGAGCTGTGAACCTGGGCAAATGATTTAATTTCTCCACGCAGCAATGCCCTCATCTGTAAACTAGTGGGTAATAACAGTATCTGCAAAAAGGAGTTTTTCTTAAGAATAAAATGGGAAGAATTCAAGTAGAATGCTTTGCAAGATACCTTAACTAGCAGGTAATGGTGGCAGTGTCTATAACAAAGATCATCCTGTCAACTGCCTTACTGTCCTGAGCTAAGATGCCTATTCCAAACTTCTCTGCTTTGATCACCAAACTACCATCGCCACCGTTTCAGAACCAAATCATTGCCAAGTGTTAATCCTTGGAAACCTGCTTAGCAAACTTTGACCTGGGAATGCCGGCACATGTCTTTTTCATGGAGGACACTTGCAACTGTTCAACTTAATAAGGTGTGGGCATGCAAAGTTTATTAGCTAATGTCAAACCCTAGCTCCAATAGGATCAAAGAACAAAATGCGTGTTATGACCAGACCTATCCCCAAACCACTTTTTGGCTCCAAAACAGAATGCCTGCCAATTCGGGGAAACTGCATAGACATAATAATCAAATAATATTATACAATCACAGTCATTGTCATTTTAAAATTGCGATAAGAAAAACAGGGTAGGAATACAGAAAGAGCAAAAAAGTCATGTGTTTTCCTTGGATCAAGGGTTTTTTTGACTGCAAAAATACAGCAGGGCCCAAATTATAGGAGGCAAGTGAGGTGCCTAGGGTGCAAATGTAGGGAGGCACTAGGTCTCAGGATCATCCAAGTTCAAGGTCAGCATTGAGAGCAAATGCCTCCTTAAATTTTCCACCCTAAGCACCCTCCATCCCTCCCCTTAATCCAGTGTTAAAGAAAGTGAAATGTACTTTTCATGCGTTTGTGTATGTGACAGTAACTTGCAAGGCTCCAAGATACTGATACATTACAACACATCTTTCCCTTAAAGACCAGAATTTCATGGCTGAGAGCAGCCCAGGCAAAGGACTATTTCCTAGAACCTCAACAAGTTCAAAGGCAGATCTTTGCAACTTTGTGAGCATTTCCTTTTATCAGCCCTCAACAACCTTTTCTTGTCCTCTCCTGCACAAACTGGCATTAATTCTACAAGCAGCAGAAAATCCTATTCCCAGATATAATTTTTGCCCATGTAAATGCTATGGAAGAAAGGGATGCAATGTGAAATGAACAGGGGTCACTTACTGATCAGGCAATCTGACCACTCTAATGGAGGACTTCTTTTTTAAGGGCTGTTTATAAATGAATTGTTTCATTACATAAATATTCATAAAGTTGGGCCGGGTGCGGTGGCTCACGCCTGTAATCTCAGCACTTTGGGAGGCCGAGGCGGGTGGATCACGAGGTCAAGAGATCGAGACCATCCTGGTCAACATGGTGAAACCCCGTCTCTACTAAAAATACAAAAAATTAGCTGGGCATGGTGGTGTGTGCCTGTATTCCCAGCTACTCAGGAGGCTGAGGCAGGAGAACTGCCTGAACCCAGGAGGCGGAGGTTGCGGTGAGCCGAGATCATGCCATTGCACTCCAGCCTGGGTAACAAGAGTGAAACTCCGTCTCAAAAAAAAAAAAAAAAATTCATAAAGTTTATTTTTAGAAAAAGTAAACAATAATAAAATATAACTAATTCACTCTCACATAAGTATTGAAATACAAGGTAAATAAAACTTTTAAAAAATCTCAGAGAGGTGACTTCAATTATAGGGCATGCAATTTCTTTTCCAACATGTCTATGAATTAAGCATTATAAAGGAAAAGGGAGCTTTATAAACATAAGCCCTTTAAAATTTCCTTCCTAAAGTTTTCTACTTTGACCTCACAAAGTCTCATTTTCAAATAAACATGTTTCTCAGTACATAATACATTAGAAGAGGTAGGTGGAAAACAAAAATCACACCTGCGTGTTAAGAATCAATGTGTTTATGTTCCTAATTTCAATGATTTAACCGAAACTTACTTTGGTTAGAAATGCTAAACAAAATCCAGTTCATAACTGAAAAATTACAGGTGTTTCTGTACGTCCATACTGGTGATTTTTAGATGTACTTCACCTATTATCAGAACGAAAACACTACATACGGATAAGGAATAGGGACAACAGTCAACTTTGTGGTCCCCAGCTCAACCTTCTACATAACTTCAATGCAGAACGAGCAGCTCGTTGCCAGGGAGCGCCACTCTCTAACACCACACAAATTTTGATATCAGCTGTCCAATGCAAATTTGTGTATGATTCTGTATGCATTACCAAGCTATGAAATAAGTCAGTGTGTTAAGATGTGTGAACGCATGTCTTGCTCTTGGTTCTGAACATAACACTTCCTAGTGTCCTGTGATATTCTTGGTTCACCCTACCCTTTCTTCTAACGAAAGCCAGTGCCCTATGTTAATTTCGAACAGAACTGAAGAATGGCACAAGAGAAGAAGCTCCTGTCTAAATGCTGTTTCTTGTGACGGCATAAAATAAGTAGTAAATGATAAGATGAGTTGGTCATTTTTTTATTTAAAGAAGGAAGAATCAACAATTTTATGGAATATTCTCTCTTTTTTTGAAGACCTAATTATATACTAAGCAAGAAGTAATTTCTCCCTCCTGCCTACATTTTATGTTTTGGGCACTTCCATTTCATGTCCCTTGACACCTTTTCCAATAATCCATCTACTTGATATTGGAAAGCCTCACATGAATAAAACTTTATGGCACTACAGGCGTTTAGCCTTCCACTGACATTCCTGGCCTGTTCAATTCTGCAATTCAATCAAAATCAAATCTCAAAATCCTCTTGTCAGCCAGCACTGCTTTCATATGCCTGAGCCTTGTGTAAGGATAACTGCATCCAATCTTCCCCCCAAGCAGTGCTTATATTGTTTTATTACAGTTCAATGAGTGGAGTTCAAAATTACATGCAGCTGCCTACTACTGCGGTCGGGCTGTTACGCATGGACACAAGTATTGCCCACCAGGCCTGAAATCATTCACTTACTGGCCGGCCAGAAAGACTGTGAGCACTTCTTTGTATGGAGGAACATCCTGTCTGCTAGATCTAAAGAGGGTGATGTTAACAGATCAGTCCCTTTATAAAAGGATTCTGAAAGCCCGATGAAATGCAACTCAAATGTGCTCAATGTTAAGCAAGTGGCTAGAGCACATAAAAGCGAAGATAAACCTCAACATGCACTACTTATTCTCAGAAAGCTTGTGAAGGAAGATAAAGAGATCTGGAATAAAAGACATCTTCAAGAATTTTCGTATGTGTTTTAGAGGATGAAGCTTCATTTAAATGATTTTTTAAACACCTCCAGTAATCCTTTCATTGAAACAAAAAGACAAAATACAAAGCCAATTAAATACAATTTAACCTGATGAATAATACAGTAATTAAAATACCGGTAGTTAAGAAATGCTTGGATAAGCAGAGCGATAGTCAAATAGCTTTAAGGGTATACCATATTTTCAACATTGGGACAAACACATTGAGTGGCCACATCCTACTTTTAAAAGAAACAAAAAATGTGTAGAACCGACTAGAATTAAAAAGGAAGGCACACTGGGTCTCATTTGTGTGGGTGTTAAAGTACCTAGTTATTAAATAGGAAAAAGAATGTCTTGCTAGAAGAACTCTTAAAGCCTCAAATAAAAATGTGTGTGCTAACTCCAGGCTACCTTTGGGCTAGTACTTCGACAGGTAAAACAATAACTTCCTAGAGTGCGGTGTTTCAGGAAAAAGAAATATGCCTCTCTCATTTATGAAGACATGCATCTCCTGTGCAGGCGGCCACACACTTGTCTGTGACAAAAGTCAGTGCCAGGAGGATAAAGACATACATGCAATTGCAAAGTATTTACTGGCAAGATCGCTAAAATTAATGACTCTCGGAGCCCCCAAAAGGTGAATGTATATCCATTTCTAATACCTACCACTCTGCATCTTTTGAAACATCATCATCAAAAGGAACTCTAACGGGAAGATAAAAAGCTCTAACATACAGAAACCTCTTTCAGGCTACAGAAATTAGTCTCAAGACTAAATGCTCAGGAGTTTAAGTATTAAGGCAGCCCCCATGCCAAGAGGGGGAAATGGAAAGGTATTTATTCTGTTGCAGCTATGTTTATAGGTAACAACCTAGAAAACCAGGTGATTCACGTATAATGATATCTTATTTTCTAATGGCATGGCAACTTGAAGAGCCAGCAAGGCAAGATACGGACAATTTGGAACTGGCAAAATAGTGAATGAGTTTCTAGATATAATTTTATTTTCTCTGGGACAAATGATGACATTCAGGCTTACTGACCCCCCAAAGGAGGCTCTTGCTATATTTTAACATTTGAGAGCGCTGAACTTGGAGGGACAAGGCATACATTTTTTTTTTTTAACCGTGGATGCTGCTTTGGTCAAGATCTGTCATCCTTTGATGGTCACAGAGCAGGAGTGCCTGACTCCCTCCCAAGTCAACTGCAGTGAAATGTTATTGTTTGATAGCTTTTCAACTGCTGACAAAATCAGCTGGTGTTCCCAGAAAATGAAATGAATTCCACATAACTGGCTTCCCTCCCTTCCTTCCCCTCTCACTCAATGGAGTCCCAATGGATGAAATGAAAAAATCTCCAAGGAATCTGAAGACCACTCTTACTACTTACAAGAGAGCTTTCTGGCATCTGTGGAAAAATCAGAAAATCCAACAATATGGCCTGACAACAATTGGCTGGAGTGGGGCAGCAACAGCTCCCTTTAAATAGAGACTGTGCTGCCTGATTCTTTACTCTTCTCACCCAATCTGCTCAATTCTTTTAAAATACCTGTGTGGCTGGCATAACAATTTGAGTTTGAGCCCCCTGTAATATAGCTGACCTCTCATTACTTCTAGGACTAGATTGTAGAAATTCTACAATCCTATTCATACTTGGTGATGTTTGGGCCAGTACTAAGGAATGTCCCCACACTTCCTAGTTTCTGATTTCCTTAGAAAGTGAAATACAGATATACATAGCTTCATGATAAATGCCAAGACCAGCCAACTAAACAGACACCAAGAATAAAGCAAGGTCCTTTCCCCAAACTCTATCCTACCGACCCCATTTCATAATGTCTACTGGGCAAAGGAATACTTGGTCCAATTATCAGATGCAATATTCAAGCTGAATGATATAAGCACATGAATATTTTGAGACCTGGTTACCTTGGCTGTCCTAACAGCTAAAGCAGATTTGCAATGTGATCCTTTGGCTGCATCAAAAGATAGGCTGCAGGGGATTTCAACACAGGCGCGAACAATGTCTGGTACTGACAGACTCATCAAACTCACTGAGGTTTAACTCCTGCTTCTTAACAAATAAAACCAAACTCTTTCCCCAACCTATCCAAACTCACTGAGATTATCAGTAGCATTTTTTGGATCTGGATTCCTATTCTCATTGAAGAAATAAATACCATCCCCAAAATGCTGGTGACATTTCCAGTTAAGCTTCTGATCACACTGCTCTTCCAAAGAGCCCAAGAGTAAAGGGAATTCCCAAACATACTAAACTCAGATACCCACATCCTAATAGCTTCTGCCTTCTAGAGATAAAAATATAAAGTCTTTACGGAAAGACTCTTTTCATCCCTTTTAATGCAAAGAGATAATATCCTAAAAACTCATTATGAACCAGACATATGTGCTTAAGACAATGAACAGATCAAGCTTTAAGGGGCTATAACTCCGAAACAGGCCTGGCAGGACTTTGAGTTTTTCCACTAAATCACCTCTTTTGTTATCCAGTACTTTACAAAGCAAATATTTATACTTTAGCAGGAAAATCCTGAGCTGGACTGTCACTTCTCATACCACCCTCTGCACCCCTTTGTAAGATGTCCCTCTCCAGTGACCCTGGAGTTTTGAACTACATTTGCTCTATTGTGTTACCTAACAGTAGCAATAGAAGAGGTAAGAGAAAGTGTCTCCAAAGAATCCTAAGTACCCCCGTCCAGCTGAGAGATCTGCACTCCTACAGCGTGATCAGATCTGGGGTCGCTAGTGCTGATCTAGAATCACTGTGCCTCGTATACATGAGGCACATCATCTGTATTTTCACCTTTTGTGAAAATGCTCCTTAGTGTGCGCAGAGGTGGTTACCCACTGAAGCAGGAGCTAAGGCACAGAGAGAGACAGGTGTCTGACAGAAAACCACAGAGGCAAAAAGCACCCAAACAGTTGCTTTAGAATTTTTCTTTTATTTTCAAAAACTCCACAATATAAATGACTGAACCCTGAGGTTCCAAGTGTGGCTTCGACCAGCAGCATGAACATCATGGAAGATACAGGGTCCCAGCCTCTACCCTAGACCTACTGAAGAAGAATCTGCACTTTGACAAGATCCGCAGCTTGGCCTCCATGTACCCCTAGGTCTGAGGAGCACCATGCTCTAGAAGAATTACGATGCAGCTGCTCTCGATGGGGAGATGGTAAGGAACGCTCCCTAACTTCCAGGACATATGTGAAAGTCTGCAGAATACCTGGATTCGAATCATGAGAGTAACTTGTTTAAAAAAAAAAAAGAAAACAAAAACAAATTTCTGGGCCCCGTCTCTCTCAGACCCACTGAATTAGAATCACAGACACTCAGGTAGTCCTGAGGTCCTCTCCAGTCTGCAAACCACTGAGCAACCTCAGTTTTGAGATGTGCATCTCCTCTGTGCTGCTTCTCGGGCTGGTTTCAATATACTGTTAAACTGATCAACATGCGGTAACCTAATAATTTAAAAAACTTCAAAAAGCATGTCATAGCTTTGTATATGCCCTAAAGTGAATGGAGCTGGGGCAGGGTTCTGGAATTCTTAAGAATGATACACATCTCTTTACAAATAGCCAGTTTTTTAAAAAGGAAATGTGTGCATTCTCGGTAACACATGCACTCACACATGCTTTCAGTGCTAAACTCATCACAGAAAATGACAGGCGGACGTGGAGATATCCACACGAGCACACATCCTCCCCACTTCTGAAATACAGAGGCATACATCTGAGAGTACATCCCCATGTATAGACTACTTCAAACAAAAACAGACGAGCTAAAGACCGAAAGCACTCCCCTTAAATCTAACATTCACTTTGCCTAGGACCAAACCAACTCCAACTAATTTAACAAGCATCAATAAATAACCCATTATATGTTGGCTTTTAGTCATTAAACACCCATCCCTTTTAATTCAAGAAAACTTGAAAACTAGCTCTCAAAGGGGTCCTACATTTAAATGTTTAAGAAAAGACTGCTTTTGATACAAACTGCATAAAACAAATAAAGAAAACTCTTAAATGTTGGATGGAGTGGCATTTCAAAGAATGAACTAATTGCAACCTGAGAGAGAAACAAGATACATTTGCTTCTGGGTACCTCTTCCACATCATACTCTTAAATAAGGCCCAAGTTTCAATTCGGGAGTAGAAGCCCAAATGTTTTTGTTAATATGAAGAGTCAAAATATTTTAAAGGATCACACTTCCAATGGTTGCAATTTCTCCAATGAGAAAAAAAGAAAGAAAGAAAGAAAGAAAGAAAGAAAGAAAGAAAGAAAGAAAGAAAGAAAGAAAGAAAGAAAGAAAAAGAGAAGGAGAGAGAGAGAGAAGGAGAGAGAGAGAGAGAAAGTAAGTTAGTTATTAGTAATAGTTATGGATGGGTATTCGGTGAGATGCTTTATCTGCCTTTACGAATCTGCAGGAATATGCAAGAATGGTTTAATAAACACACCATAGTTCACTTTTCAGTTTAAAGTGTTCTTTTTTGTGCAATTAAGCTATTAAAACATGACTATGATTTGACTATATTAATAACACAATGAAGCAAGTCTTCAGGTAAAGTAACATGGACAAAGGATTTCCAAAAACACAGCCGAAAAGTCATGCCAAACTGAGGGAAAGGAGGTAAAGTCTGTGGAAAGAACAACAGTTGCCCTTGCTCAGATGATTAAAGTATTTGGGGGAGGTAGCAACAGTCCTTCCCTAGCAAAGATATATGGGACATACTTTACGAAATCAACAAACAAGTTGCCCTTGTTTTATTGCAAAGCACAGGGCAGCAGGCACAACAGAGAAAGAGAAAGAGAGGGGACACACACACAAACGTCGGGCAAAACAGGAAATTTGAGGAAACTATTTCTGAAATGTAAATAAGGTTTTCTGTTACTTTCAATATTGCAAAAGCAAAGAAGCTCCACTAGATGGAAAGGGCCAGGTTTTTTTATACATCTCAAATTTTTCAGCACATGGGACCCAGTTCACAATGTACGGAGCTGATATTTCACATACAAATTCTTAACATGAGAATCAGAACCAATTTTTATTTTAAATGTTCCCCTTGACGCTCAGCCTTTTCTTTTCTCTCCTGGAGATTGTGGGAAAAGCCTGTTCCCAACTCCTCTCTGCACTAGCCTTGGGACTCAGGACAATGTATTTGTCTTCTCTGACATCACTTTCTTTTCTGAAAGAGGAGGACAAGATCAGTTCCTACTCCACAGAAACATCGTGAGATACCCAAATTACACAATGACTGACATCTAGTTAGTGCCAAATATGCTAGGTTTTTTTTTTGTACTAACAGTGGGGTAATGCTACTCTCAAAAGCAACCCATGGGATATCAGAAACTCGGTTGTTGGTGGTTGTTTTTTTTTTCTGCGATATATCTATGTCAATTCATATCAGTGGCTTTATTTTTAAAGAAGGAGTGTTAGCAAGTTATTGCTATAGAAAATGCCCCATATGAAAAAGATTGCCCTGGTAACTTATCTGAGAGATGTGTCAATTAGCCTTAAAGACAGGAGTATACACAAACGTGGGTTCTCATGCTAGGATATAAAGATGGGTATTTGGAGAGTGCTGACAGAATGCTGGGCTACTGAAGACACAGTTTACTCATTCACACATCTTTGCTATGTTCTTAAATGTCTTTGCTAATCCTATGAAACTTAAAAAAAATAATAAAAAAAAAGAAAAGCATCTAAAAATCCACAGAAATCATGGTTAAGGGGATATTAATAACATATTTGTATCATCATATACTTGTGCATCAATACCATTTTCAAAATTAGCAATCCAATAAAACTGAAGTCAAAAAAGTGAACCTAATAAATTTATACACACTGGATTCTAGAAAATATTCAGTAGTGCTGTACCTACACGATCCTAAACACCTAGGTAAATTACAATGACTGTGCTACGTTGCAATTTTACTATCAATTAGCATGGACCATTTTTCACCAAAAATCAAACAAATCCTCTCTTTCTGCCAGGTACATGCCTAAAATATCCTCAGTCATCACAAAAGAGATCCAAGTCCTTGGGGGGTTGAGCCACCTCTCCATCTCTACCCCCATGAAATTAAAGCAAGAACTTTATCAAAGAAGAAGACCAAAAGGACTCCGGAGTGTGAAACAAGAGCGCATTAATTCTGAATTACAGTGCTTTTGCAGATTCACAGCGCACTTCCCTCTAAAGCACATTTTAGTTTACTATGTCTCACACCACAGCAATTGAGAACTCCTGTACACAAAAATGCTAGGGGAAATGGCTCAACCACTGGGTCAAAATTTGCAGTTGGTCTGACATGCACAATCAAAGCACTCGAAAGATATGCCTGGGAAATAAGAGTTTATTGATATTTATGGGTAGGTTTTTTGCTACAAGTCTCAGCCATTCCTTCTCCTTACTCTCTCTTCTTTTTATCAAAACACACTCTGCTTCCCAGTGTCCCACATGAGTGCAAAGGACAGGGACTACTCTGCTCCATGCTTCCTTGCAGCACATCTCAACCAGTATTGGCTACAACTCCAGCACCATGCACCAATTTCAGGAAAATTAGAGTTCAGCCCTTTCTTTTCTCTCCATTTTCGTAATCTCACAGAGGCACAACTGTTCCAGAAACCAGCTCCCCTACCAGTCAGATATTTACACTAAACCTTTACTAAAGGGCTTGCTATTACAATGCTGTCTCATTGATACAAGATTACTTCACTTCTGAACCACATCAAGCTATATAATACTCCAACAATCAAAAACATTGCCCCTCAAGAAAGATGCAGCCCAGATGATTTTCATGTGCTTATGTGAGCAGAATGCCAACATTTTTGTTTAATACAATGCAAATCTCAAAAAAGAGTTTAACCAGGAAGGCAGCATGCAGGCAAAAATCCTTCCAATGTGTACATGTCCACATACACATATTACATAGACACATGTCAAGCTATAATGAAATCATCCTGGATAAGAACTTTACATACTGTCAATTTCTCAAGGGGCAACCCCCTTTTCAAAAGCCTCAAACCAGCATCAGATCAAATGAAATATTTTTTTTAAATTTTGGGAAAGTGTAATATCCCTGTGCTCGACAAGGTAAAATATTCTGCCTTTTTACTCTGATTTGCAAAATAGGTAGGTGAGGAAAATAAAAGAATATAGCATTTACCTATCCATTTAGCAAATAATATGGAAGACCTACTCTACATCTTTATTCAAATGAAAATACTTTCCCCTAGCATTTATTTCTTTAGCTGGTAGAAGCCCCACCCTGTAAGGAACACAAGCTTAAAGCAATCTCTTGCAATGGACCATTTTACTTATTCTGCAATTTCTTACCCAAATTACACAGGTATAATTATTTTGACACTATAATGAAAAGAAAATGGGATTTGGGCACTGTAGGTTTATCTAATAACACTATTTCTTGCCAGACTTCACAGCACTGACAGTCACAAAGAACCTTGTCCATTCCAATAGGAAATATTTGATTTTAATGTAGGAACATTATTTATTTTCACCAAGTTGCTATTATCAGAAAGGATATGATAGCTGAATAATAAAAATGAAATCAAGAAATTCTGGTGTTTCAAGGCTTTATTTTTTTTCTGCTCTCACTTTTGACATTTTCTTCCCCTGGAGAGACAAGATAAAGTGCTGTCATAAATGGGTGACTTTTCTTGTCAAATGACAGATTTGATTCTCCATGGTAACCACAAATCAAGGTGCTAGTAGGAATTAAAGCTTCTCTTAAAAGGCGTCTTTATGTTTATAAAATGAATTTAAATTAAATGGGTATTAGGTACAGTCTTTACCTCAATTTATTTATTGACTGAAGAGCTCTGGATTGCAAGCAGCACATTTGCATTTTTAAGGAGAGATAACATATTGTCCTGACAGATGTATAAACAAAGCAAGTTACAAGGTCATGCTTCATACACTAGTTCTGAGACCCACGAAGGGGATACAGATGGACATCTAGCAGTGAAGAAGTATTTAAATACTGAAAAAGGTGTAAAAATTACCTACAGGGGAACAGATGATGGAGTCTCTTTAGTTTTCTTCCTAAGGCAGCTTTTTTTTTTTTTATTCCCAGTTAATAAAGATTTGTGAAATTGTCACAAACAGAACGCCAAAAGGCAATCTCCTTCTTCGTCTTGTGTCCCTCATTGTAAGAGATACAGGGTGGTGGTTTTTTTTTTTTTAAAAAAATCCCTTCATCACAAATAAATATTCCATTCAAAATGAAAGTATTTTCACCTCCAAATTCAAGTACAGCTAAAATGAAACATTTGCTTCCTAATGTTTTTAAGAAAGGCAAGCTCGAAAAAGACTATATATGATTATTTCAGAGGAATGAGATAATTAATCAGGGTGTTAAGCTGCTTTCAATTTTCATAGGAAATGAAAGCTGATTTGCTTATTTTTTTCAGCCATTAGAACTTAAGAAGCAAGATTATGTGTTATTGGATCCGAAAATAATGTATCAGGCCCCATCTTCTTGATATTAGCAACCCATTTAGCTGGTCTAGAGAGGAGTGAGGGTTTTTTTGTTTTTTGTTTTTTTGAGACAGAGTCTCAGTCTATCACCCAGGCTGGAGTGCAGTGGTGCGATCCTGGCTCACTACAATCTCTGCCACCTGGGTTCAAGCGATTCTCCTGTCTCAGCCTCCCGAATAGCTGGGATTACAGGTATCTGCCACCAAGCCCATCTAATTTTTGTATTTTTATTAGAGATGGGTTTTCCCCATGTTGGCCAGGCTGGTCTTGAACTCCTGACCTTGTGATCCACTTGCCTCGGCCTCCCACAGTGCTGGGATTACAGGTGTGAGCCACTGTGCCTAGCCAGAATGAGGGTTGTTTTTTTTTATGTAACAGAGTACAAATAAAGTTTGTATATTTTTTTGTAACAGAGTACAAATAGAGTTTGTATATTTTTTATACAGAGTGAGGGTTTTAAGGACACAAATAGTATTTTAATATTGAAGTAAATCTCATTTTTGGAAGTTTCCATCAGAGCACAGGGCAATGCTACCTGTCTGAAATGTATATTGTCAACAGTATAGTCATTCAGATAGACAAGTTTAACATAAAATAGAGAAAGGGAAAATAAGAGTCTTATATTATACACTGGTAGTTGGCAGCCATATAAGCTCAGCAAAATTTGATTTTATACCATCTCTAGTTGAAAGAATAATGTGTAGAATTAAGCCAAATTCACTTCTTACAATTATCTGATGGTGGTGCCTTTGACTGTTGGGAATAGCTCTGACAAGCTGAAGGGCAAAAACAACTGGTACAATTACAATAAAGAGATGGGCAGTATCATCTAGGAATTTGTGATTTAAACCTAAATGCCTGGAAGTTTTTGTTTGTTTGGGTGCAGAGGGAGGTATTAGTTTTATCTTGCGGAAGTTAGAAAAAGACTTTGTCCATTCTTGAGTTTAATCAGTACAAGCTATAATAAAATGGTGCCTAAAAGTTATAAATCTCTTTGGAACTCTGTGTACAAAGCATATTTTATGGCGGTGTGAGTCACACAGAACTCTCTATTTCAGTCACAATGGCTTTTGTTTCATATTAGAATAAAGTGGGTTGATGATCTTATTCTCATTCCGTGTAAAAAGTCAAACTAACATCATGTCTAAAAACATAGGTCGACGAATTACCCAGAAACAAGTGCTTGAGGAGACCTCATGCAACATAGTAAGAGCATAGTAGATTCTGCAGGGTCAATACATCAGTTTCAAATAAGCCATGATCGTATCACTGTGCTCCAGCCTGGGTGACAGAACGAGACACTGTCTCAAAAAAAATAAAAGGAGAAAAACAGGGTCACTGCCTACTGAGGCCACAGGACTCTGGCATCACAATGTAAAGCTATCCCATCAAGAGAAGATTGGCAGGGCTTGGCATTCTAAGGAAGAGTGATTAACACTGAGAGAACCTGACCCTCCCCAGAATCACTGGCCCTCCCTTTAGCCAGAGGGGAGAATCAAGGCCATCTGAATGCTAACAAGAATGTCCCATAAAACTGGCACTATCTCTACCTGGTGTTGACATTGTCTGCCTTAAATAGTTCACTAGTAGAGAAAGGAAGTCACAAGATGAAGGCCTCACAGGATTGCACATAAACACTTGCTGCATAAAATCAGGAAACACTTCGCTAATGCACGACTGCATAAAGCAAATTGCTCATTAAAATGAGACTCATCAGGGTAAAAAATGGGAATGCTGAATTGGCCTGGAAATGAAGTGATTTACCATTTTGTTTGAAAGGGGGGACAGAAGAAGAATGTGTAAACCCATTCCAGTCATGCAGTTGGAATCTGGTTACTCTGTTTAGATGTTCATGTCACAGAATCAGCTCAAGAATTTCTCGAGAAAAATAAAATACGGTTCACTTCAAACAACACCTTTCACCTGCCTTCTGGAGTGCACTAGGCTTTTCGGAGGTTCACTCAGCCTCACAGAATCACGTATCCATGATGGGTCAACGACACAGATAAAGTTATCTTTCTTGGTAAGCTCCAGTCACCATTCAACTTTCTAAAACAGAATAAAATAAGTGAGAACCCATTCGCATTAAAGTTGAAATTTCACTGGTGTCTTCAGCCAAATCCTCCATAGGATTTAAAAATCAGTTAAATCTGAGAGGGAAATCATTGCACCTATGTGTTAAAAATCTGGACTTGACTCAGAAGAAATTCCATCTAACTCCATTGTATTCTAATCATCCAATGAAGAAAAATCCAAACCAGCTACCACCTATGTGTTTTTTATTTCTGTGTGATATAGCTTCCTTTGGTCCAGATTAAGGACTGCCACATACTGCTGACTTGAGTTTACTGCTGAACCTGCCCTAGCAGGCTGGTCACCCCAGGTCTTCTCTCGACCGCCAATGCTATGCCAAAGCCAGCACCATGAATAAAACCACCTCCTATTCCCCATCAATGGACCAAGTGTGCATTTTCACATGGAAGGTGCCGGCCTGCAAGGCCAGCACCTGACTTAACCCTGAGCTTCCTCTCCTGGCTTCTGTGCCCCTTGGTGGGAAAGCCTCTCCTCTCTCTGTGATTGTCACTCTCAGACCTCAGAACTCATCAAGAAGTCCGAGTGTGGTGGCTCACACCCGTAATTCCAGCACTTGGGAGGCCAAGGCAAGTAGACTGCTTAAGGTCAGGAGCTCAAGACCAGCCTGGGCAAGATCGTGAAATCCCAGCCCTACTAAAAATACAAAAAAATTAGCCAGGCATGGTAGCATGTGCCTGTAATCCCAGCTACTCAGGAGGCTGAGCATGAGAATTCCTTGAACCTAGGAGGCAGAGGTTGCAGTGAGCCGAGATCAAACCAACTGAACTCCTGCCCAGGTGATACAGTGAGACTCTGTCTCAAAACCTTACCAAGAGGGAAAATACCCACAACAGTTCGCCTTTGGAAAACAGCTCACACCTGCCACACGGCTACAGATTCAGGAACATTCAGGACCCTGAACTCAGGAGCTGCACATTACTGGCTCTCCCAATTGCCTGACATGAACTGTGACACAGATTCTCTAGGCCGGGGTCTCTCCCCACGAGATATAAGGATATCGAAAACAACTTCTACTTTACAGGGATGTTGAACTTTTAATTAATGCCTGTACCATGCTGTGGTCCCTGAATTAAAGGTACTGTTTAATGAAAGCAAGAAAGCAGCCACAGCGTAGCTACCATGATTGCGTCTTGACCCCAAACACAGCACAATTCAATCACTCATCTCCTGGAGGTTTTGTCTGGCTATGCTTGATATGCACAAGCAAAGTCCAGAACCAGGAACGGCTCCTGCAGAGGCATGTATTTTGTAATAATGGAAGTACAGATGCTGGCCAGGAAGAAGGCACTGGCAAGAGGAAATCCAGCCTGAGCAGGATGGAGAGGGGGCATCAAACATACATTTCTGCAAAGGTTGGGTGTCCAGTTTACCAATCTGTAAATGAGGTACACTAATGAAGAAAACAGGCTATCCATGGTGGCTTCCACCTCTATCCTAGCACTTTGTGAGGTCAAGGCAGGAGGACTGCTTAAGCTCAAGAGTTCAAGACCAACCTGGGCAACTTAGGGAGACCCCCATCTGTACAAGAAATTTAAAAATTAGCTGGGCACGGTGGCACATGCTGCGGTCCCAGCTACTTGGGAGGTTGAAGTGGGAGGAACAGCTGAGCAGAGGCTGCAGTGAGCCATGATCCTATCACTGCACTCCAGCCTGGGCAACAGAATGAGACCCTGTCTCAAAAAAACAAAAAGAAGGAAAACAAAGTAACTGCCTACAGGTCTACAAGCCGGGAGCAGTTGACAAGCGTCCCCAGAGAATGCCTGGCTACCCCCAGGGCGGGGCTCTCGCTGACTGCCAAAGCTGGCAACCTCCTAAGAGGGCCCGGAGATGTCTCCGGAAAGGCCCCACACAACTTGGAGCGCTCCCCTGGGAGGGGAAGGTGAATCAGAGGCCAAGTTACTACTGTTCCATACTTGGCCTCTTTGGGGAGTTGACTGGAGCCAGTATACCTCTGGCTCCTGGGATCTGGGAAGTCAAGAAGCCAAACAGCACGATGCCCTCCCCTCCCCACATGGCACTTTCGAAATGGCCTTTCTCCATAGGCACTGCCAGGAAGCACACTGGCTTTCTGCTCTTTTCTTTTCATCCCCAAGGTGGGGGGATGACCGAAGGCAAGTGGCCTCTTTGATCTCTGCTCAACAGTCACTTCCACTGGGAAGCCGGGCCCCTTGACTAGGCATCACAAAGGTAGCACACACACAGGACTGACTTTCTGCCAGGCGGGGGAGTAAGCAGATGTGGGAAACCCGACTGCCCCAAGTTCAGTCTCCAAACTGCCCCTCTTCCCCTTACATAACGTCATAGGACCTACCTGACAGCTAACCCTTAGTTTCATCATCTGTACAATGGAGATTGCAGCACCTGCCTCATAGGGTTTTCTACCCTGTGGATCCAGTGAGCTATTATAAGCACTTAGAAAAGGGCCAACCTAGAATTGTCATCTTCTTCCTCATAACAATGCTACAAAGTGGATACTAATATGATCTCCACTCAGCAGATGGGAAAACTGAGGCACTGGGTGCTTAAAGACTTTACTTATAATGGAACGATCAGGAAGTGGTCTAACCTAAGCCGTCCAACTCCAGAGTCTGCTCTGTGAAATCCAAGCTACAGGCCCTCGTGCAGGGCCCACGGCCTCTGTTTTACGTCATTGAAAATGGCACTGGAATCTTACGTTTATTCATGCAATGCTCCACAAGAGCAGGGGCTGCACCTGGTTTCACTCACTATTGTCTTAGCGCAGCATAGGTGCTCAATTAGTTTTACAAAAGAGCAAATCCATCCTTCCATTCATCTAAGCCAGGGTCCTTAACCCCCAGACCACCAGTGGCCTGCTGGAAACCGGGGCTGCACAGCAGGAGGTGAGCAGCAGGCAAGCTAGCAATACTGCCTAAGCTCCACCTCCTGTCAGATCCGCAGTGGCACTGGATTCTCAGAGGAGGGCGAACCCTATTGCGAACTGCTCATGTGAGGGAGCAAGCTTGTGCACTCCTTATGAGAAGCTAACTAATGCCTGATGATCCGAGGTGCAACAACTTCATCTGGAAACCACTGCCCCAACCCCTCACATCTGTGGAAAAACGTCTTCCATGAAACCAGTCCCCAGTGCCAAAAAGGTGGTGGACCACTGATCTAAGCAACATGCTGGACAGATAAAACTAAACATTTATAAAGCTGACAACCAGGCACAAGAGTATACAGGCCCCTGTGGAAACAGATGCCAGCCCATCCTAAGCCTACCCTAGACCTTCCAAGGATGCTGCTTCTGCCTTCTCTCCACCACCAACTGCTACTCGATGGCTCCCAACCTCTCCTGCTTTCCTGGCCTGCCCTTATTTTTGTCTTGGGGCTGAGAAAAATCTGAACAGGCGAGCTGCTAACTTTTCTCTAGAAAACAACTTTTTCCCCAGCTATTTGTCAACTTCTGTCATTCAAAGGGATACAACACAAATGTATATCTTTAATGAAATTCACAGTCAAGGAAAGTTGTCATCATCTAGTTATATCTGTTATGACATACATTTCATTTTGTTCAATACATAACAGAGAAGCTATTTAATCAAACAGAAGATTCTTGCTAAAATGACAGTCCAAGCAATGTCCAAACAAGCGTTTATTATGCTGTGCGAATCTGATCGGGATTGGATTGTTTTCAGCGGATTTTTTTTTCTTCCTCTTCCATTGAGAAAATACTCAGGGGGTGGGTACAGAAAACAACACTGGACAATGGAGGCGGAGTCTGATGCTGAGTCAGCGGCGAGTGTGGGGACCCACTGGAGTCTACAGGGAGAAAGTAGAAAGACACATCCGACCGTCCAGAAGGTCACAAAGGGCACTGCCTAGGGCAGGCGGCTGCATCTTCTCTCTCCTTACCGTCTAGTTCTACATGAGAGACACAGGTACAAGCTCTAAACACAGACACACAGCAGGAATGATGACGTCTGTGTTCCTCAAGTGATTCTTATCCTTGGATACATTTTGTTTGTCTTCACAATTTAATGAACACTTAGCTTCAATGAGAAAACCCACGTTACTGCAGGAGAATTTAGGGAGTTGGAGAGCTAGCCCAAGGCCAGAAAAACGAAAGGAAAAAATGCTGAAGGAGGTGTTTGGGTATTTGGGCTTTGGATACCACAGATGATATAAATTTGAGAAAAAGGAAATATATATTATGTATGTGTGTATGTGTCTATGTGTATAATGAACACATATACATACATGTACATGCATACACACATATGCATATGCACACATATACATATACACACATATATAATACACACATATGCACACATATCCGTATACACACACATATGCACACATATACGTATACACACACATATATAATACACACATATGCACACATATCCGTATACACACACATATAATACACACATATGCACACATATCCATATACACACACATATATAATACACACATATGCACACATATCCGTATACACACACATATATAATACACACATATGCACACATATCCGTATACACACATATATAATACACACATATGCACACATATCCGTATACACACACATATATAATACACACATATGCACACATATCCGTATACACACACATATATAATACACACATATGCACACATATCCGTATACACACACATATATAATACACACATATGCACACATATCCGTATACACACATATAATACACACATATGCACACATATCCGTATACACACACACATATAATACACACATATGCACACATATCCGTATACACACACATATATAATACACACATATGCACACATATCCGTATACACACACATATATAATACACACATATGCACACATATCCGTATACACACACATATATAATACACACACACATATCTATATACCAGTAATGTTTAGAGGATGATAAATTTCCTACTTTTACTTCATTCACCACACAGTACCTGGAACAAAGTAGGATTTCAACAAAGAATTGTCACGTGATTGGATGGGTAGATGGATGAACAGACAAGTTAACAGGATACATGGGCAGGTGGGTGGGTGGTGGACAAATGGAATCTCCCCCCAAAAAAATGACTGATGAAAATTATTTTAATAGGCGATTCTAAGACGTAACGGCCCTTTATCCAGGGAATTCCTCCTTACTCTTGCTCAAGGTGTGGCCTCGGCCATGCCAGACAGAGCTTCTATTAAAGGAAGAAAACATCTTTATAAGATAGCTGGGAGTGGCCTGTGGCTAAAAAACTTTCCTTTTCCTGAGCCAGGTTAATTGGTCACCATGGCAACAATGACAAAGACTGCCAATTAGCCCAAAACTTTATATTACCATGCTAATGTTCTAAGTAAATGAGAGATGGTGGAGCCCAGTAATTTTCACACTGAAAGACTTGTTAAAACAAAGATTGCTGGATCTCTCCTTCAGAGTTTCTAATTCAGTAGGTCTGGAACAGGACCCAAGAACACACTTTTACCAAATTTCCAGATGATGGTGATGCTGCAGCACTGGGACCATGCCTTGTGAACCACCACTCTTGACAATTTCCAAGATTCCATGGATTCCAGTAGGTTACAAGTCTATTAGTGATCTACCAAAACACTTCTTAGCTGAATCAACTTGGGAAAGTGGATCCAACCTTATCTAAGGTGCCATAAAGGGTCACAGTATTGTTAAATTTAAGATCAAGATACCTGACCATTCCAACAGTCCTCATTAGGTGGGATTTTTTAATCCTTGGAGAAGTAATATTTTTGTTTTTTGGGTTTTTTTTTTAACATTCCTATATTCATTTTTGGAGAGTTAAAAATATATCCAAACATTTAAAAATAAATTTCAAAAATTCAGTCACAATATGATGACATAAATTGAACTTGGGAGTCTGTAAGAAATTCCAAAAGGGTCATCTAAAGTCATTGCTTGGCTTCCAACAGGATTTGCAACCCAGCCACCAAATGTCAATAAGTATGCCTGATTGACATGAGGTGAGGGGCCTCAACATTTCTCCTTGGTGTGACTGTCCTGTTCCAGAGTTGAGCGTCCTTATAAGACTCTTTGTATGTCCTCACATCACACAGGGATCTCACCTGCTCTTGATACCTTTCTAATGTTAGGTCTCTGGAAAACAGCAGGGTGAACAGCCCCCTGCTTACAATTCCTTCTGCTATGTATAAAGACATTGAAACTCCCACCCACTCCTCAACCAGGCTTCTCCTCTGTATGTTAAGTAGTTTCCATTCCTTTAACCTTTCTACAAAGATTCTTTCTCCCACCCTTTCATCATTGCCATGGATCACCTCTGCAGCCCTTCTAAAATCCTTACCCTTTCCTTGTTCTCCCCCTGGGGCCTGGACATGTCAGTGTCCTGACTTTCATGGACTCCTTTCATACATCCTGAATCATGTGAGGTTTTTAAGAACAGACACAAGCATCAGTGTGAAAGGAGACGCACCAGACGACTCCAGTTTACAAGATCTGAAAGAGAAAAAAGAGCAGGACCAAGTTGGCATGCCGGTGGTTGAGCAGGACACAAAAGATATCTCAGGAGTCACTCTCCTCAATGAGAATTTGGACACAGGGACATTTGAGTCCTGTCGAGTACTTCCAACTCAGAGCAATTCCGCTGGCACAGGGTGTTGGCTTGTAAATGGCAATATCCAAATCAGAGAGGAAATGACAGTGCATTCCAAGCAAAATGGCACACATTTAGACTGACTAAGAAAATAACAATAAAACTGCAAATTTATTCTGCTTGTGTGATCATGATTATCATTACATCAAGTTCCATATATGCCCAGCCAGAATAAATATTAACCCATTTTATAAATGACTTTATACTGCATTTGTGGATACAGCTCCACCCAAACCCAAAACAACACTGTTTCCATAGTAACCAACAGATTTCAAAGAAGGAAAAAGGAGGGGAAGACTTCAGAACGGATAGCAATCAAATAAAATAGCCAGCATCAACAAAATATGTCAGCATTATTTAAAACACCCAGTTAGGACCATTCTATAGTTTAATCTCTTTCCCAGAAAACCACCCCTTCTAAGTCACCTTCTTGTAAAGCCGGTCCTCCCTCAAAGAAACAATGGCAAAATTGTTTCCATTTTAATTGAGGAAAGAAGCAAATTTCTTGAGTCATTCCTAGGATCCAAATGGGAGTATGATGAAGAAAATAACATCTACGAAGTGACTTAGCCCACCCAGAAATTCACATTGATTACCAATTGGTGATTATGAACTCTTAGCTGGGCTTTGATGATCACATTAGAATGTCTGTTTTCTTGTTGAATGTAACGGGGGGGGGAAAGAGCAAAAGCCAGGAATGCCAGGTTTTTGGAACGCCAGTCCCAAAAGCCATGGAATGCCAGGGAGCTAAAAACCATAAAAGCTGCAGACCACCCTCAACTGAAAGCCAGAATTTTCCCTGGAACTTTCTCAAATATCAGTTCCCCCAGTGAATTTTGCACACAGGTGATGTGCAGTAGCTCTCCACATCTCCACGTCCCTGCAAGTTCTTTGGTTTTATGTCTGTAGACAAAATTCAAAGCAACACCTACAGGCAGCATCTTGTCTGTAGAATAGAAATGGCCTCATGTGGCGTAATCTATGAACTCTAAAAACTCACAGTCCTGGTGATCCCTCTTCTCCTCTCGCTTTCTGACTGCCTCCTGATTTCAAAATATTGCAGATAAAATAAAATATTAAAATAAAATTAATAAAAATAAAAGTTATAAGACATAAAAAAGGAATTTTGAGTCTCTAGCTCCTACTGTCCTTCAGAAAGAAGTTCTAAAGTAATTTATTAATGTGTTCTCTCTTATATTCTAGCTGTGTGACCGTGGGTAAGTTATTTAACATCTCCTTAACTTTTGTGAACCTGTTTCTTCATCTGTAAAAGAGGAATAGTAAGAGTATCTACTGAATAGAGTTGTTATACAGATAAAATGAATTAACTTGTACAAAGAGCTTAGTGAAATACCTAATACACAGCAAAGAGAATCTTTACTATTACTTTTCTATTACTAATGTTACTATTACTGTTGTTATTCATAAGTAATTCTTCTTTCTTAAGACTTGAGTTAAAAAGTGATGGCTTTCCTTAGAAACAATGTTTGAGGCCTGGTGCAGTGACTCATGCCTTTAATCCCAGCACTTTGGGAGGCCGAGGAGGGCAGATTGCCTGAGCTCAGGAGTTCAAGACCAGCCTGGGCAACATGGTAAAACCCCATCTCTACCGAAAATACAGAAAATTAGCCGGGTATGGTGTGTGCCCATAGTCCCAGCTATCCGGGAGGTTGAGGCACGAGAATCGCTTGAACCTGGAAGGCAGAGGTTGCAATGAGCCAAGATTGCGCCACTGCCCACTGTCCTCCAGCCTGGGCGATTGAGCGACACTCTGTCTCTTAAAAAAAAAAGAGAAAGAAAGAAAACATTCAATATTGCAGAGAGAAATACTGCTGAACTAGGACATCTCACAAACTTCAACTATGCAATGTATCAACTAGTCTTGAATGGCATAAGCTTCTGAAACAGATAGAACTGGATTTGAATGGTACTTACAGCCATGTGGCCATAAGTCTGTCCCTTAACCTTCCTAAGCCTCAGCTTCCTCCCTCTACAATGGGAGCAGTTAAGAGTGACCACCTAGGACTTGCAGCAAGGATCAATTGGGAGAATCCCTGTATAGCATTCCACAAAGAATCTCTTACATTAAATATTAAATACATGTTGACCATTATTATTCAATTTCTTTGCCTGTACAAAACATTGATTCAACAACTATTTATTGCATTCTAGTGCATGCTAGATGGTTAAATTATTTATTGCATCTACTGCATGCTACATGTGGTCTGTGCGCTTATGAAGTGTACAGCCCAAAGGGGAAAAGCTTACATTGAATAAACATACACAAATGTAACTATTTAATTATATATATAAATTATATATTATAATAAGCATACCTTTATATTTATTATACATTATAATAAACATGCACAAAACTATAGTTAATTCTGTATATAATTATAAACTTTGACAAGTGTCGTAAAGAAAAAGAACGGGGTGAAATAACTGAAGTTTGTCAATGGGAATATTAGAGGTCACACTTTCAAGATTTTTCTATTGGACCCAATGTAACACCAAAATGGTATATCCCACCAATAATCACCCAGAGTACAATATTTTGCATATACACCACCTTGTCATGTCCACAAAGGATTTAAAATGACTGCAAGGCCTTCCTTTTAGGCAAAACTATAACAATGTTCCATTCTTCTTTTTAGCTTAGATGGAAAACAGGCTAAGTTTATGTTTAGAGGAGACATGCAAATTGAAATACTCAAGTGATAGAAAAGAAAAAAAGATAGAATTGAGTCCGCCCACTCTGAAAGCCGTACCTTCCCCGACCCCACAGGTTTTGCTCCTGTGTTACTTTATAAATCACCAATATCTTAAGAATCATAAAATCCTGGAATACGGCAGTAGCTTTACCACGTTCCCAGATGAATAAAATGATAACTCCATGTTCGGACGATTCAAAGTGGTTCCATCTGATCAGACCAAGAAAGACTCAGCAACACAACACCAGGTGCCTCCCAGGTTGAAGATTTATCTGAATTTATTCTACAGCCCTACTGGGAGAGGTTCCCTGTACTTCTACCTACAGTTTGCCTAATGGTAGAAGACGTACATAAATGTAATTACATTTACATTTTATTATGAAGTCGGTGAGTCACTAAAAGTCAATGCTAGAAGGTACGTTTTATAGTTTTTCATTATGTTTTGTGTGCTTCATTGCCTTTAGGATCATATTTTTATCGGGGGAGGAGTTCTAACTATGGAATACTTATTTTGCAGAGGACATACCTTTTTGTCAGGGTGTTTGCCTCTGCCTCCTCAGGACCACTCTCAACTGGATTATTTGAATTCCCCTTTTTAACTTCGGCCCATCATTCTCAGTAAGAAATAACGATTTAGGCTTTCAAAAGGTACAGAACTGTTTGTACCCAATATACACTCGATACAAACCACATAAAAATGACTGACCAAATGTGAAAAATCTTATGGGTGTGAGAGGATTCAGTAGAATTGTGAAAGTATGTAAAATCATACTTTTCCCTTTTCTTTCCTATGCTGCATTTTAAATTACGTTCTTCAGGTCATATTTTGGATGTTGGTTCCACTTGCTCTGATACATGCCATTTCAATCCAATGAAGTAAAGGATGCCAACCCTGAGAGAAGACCTCTTATTCTGCCCAGCATTTGTGACTTTGAAACCACTCCAGAATTCCAACAGGAAGCCCAAGTCCAGGGAACAAATAAAAGAGCATCTAAGCTCATCATTTTACTCCTAACGAGGCATTTTGTTCATTTTTTTGAGACGCAGTTTCACTCTTGTTACCCAGGCTAGAGTGCAATGGCGTGATCTCGGCTCACCGCAACCTCCGCCTCCTGGGTTCAGGCAATTCTCCTGCCTCAGCCTCCTGAGTAGCTGGGACTACAGGCACTTGCCACCATGCCCCGCTAATTTTTTGTATTTTTAGTAGACATGGGGTTTCACCATGTTGACCAAGATGGTCTTGATCTTTTGACCTCGTGATCCACCCGCCTCGGCCTCCCAAAGTGCTGGGATTACAGGCTTGAGCCACCACGCCCGGTCCATTTTGTTAATTTTAACTATTGTAGTCCATAAGAGAAATATGTGACCAGGTGCAGTGGCTCGGGCTTGTAATCCCAGCACTTTAGGAGGCTGAGGCAAGTGGATTACAAGGTCAGGAGTTTGAGACCAGCCTGGCAAACACAGTGAAACCTGTCTCTGCTAAAAATACAAAAATTAGCTGGGTGTGGTGCCACATGCCTGAAATCCCAGCTACTTGGGAGGCTGAGGTAGGAGAATAATTTGAACCCAGGAGGCAGAGGTTGCAGTAAGCCAAGATCGCACCACTACTCTCTAGCCTGGGTGGCAGAGCTAGACTCCATCTCAAAAAAGAAAAAAGAAAGAGAAATATGTTAGAATAATGTATAGATGGACATGCTGGTTGGTTTTTCCCCCAAAGTGAGAAAAGAGAAGCCTCGTATACATATTAACCCCACTCATTCAAATTCCTCAATATTTGTCTAGCTCTGCAGCTGCCATGTATGGCATGCTCCAACCACACACAGGCATTGCACTGCAGGGTATCTTCAATTAATTAGTCCTTATGATGACATAATAAGAGGGATTTTTTAAAAATTTCAATTTCTCAGATGATGAACCAACGCTCAGTATGTTAAAATAATTTATGAAAGGGCCAGACAGCTAAAAAAAAATCACCGAGCTAAGATTTGAACCCATAGCCTGACACCAGAGCCTGTGCCTGCCACCACCACACTCCACTGGACAAACGCTGGTCTCTATTGTACATAACAGAATAACTTCAGGTGCATAGCTCATTTAATCTCACAAGATCTCACTCTGGGGTGTGCTAT